TTTATTTAATCCTAACAGTTTCGGCTGACGCCATATATATATATATATATATATATATATATATGAGAGAGAGAGAGAGAGAGAGAGAAAGAGAGAGAGAGAGATGCATAAATTAAAGTCTGCAGAAAACAGCGCTTTGCGATAGGTAGAGAGACGCTGGAAGTTGTAAAGGAACATGTCTGCTTAGGACAGGTGTAACCGTGGAATCGAACCATGAGAGTGAAACACCTAGAACAATAAGGATGGAGTGGATCACATTCGGCAGGAATTCCCAAATCATGAACGGTATCCTGCCAAAAACCTTCAAGAGGAAGATATATAACACAGGTGTATCTTGCCGGCGCTTACATACGGAGGAGAAACCTGGAGACTTCCAAAGAGGGTTCAGCTTAAATTGAGGACGACGCAGTGAGCGATGGCAAGGATAATGGTAGTCGAGACAAGAAGAGAGCAGAGTGGGCCAGGGAACAAACCGGGGTTAAAGATATCATACTAGAAATCAGGAAAAAGAGATGGACATGGGCCGGGCACGTAGACAAGATAACCGCAATTCATTCAGGGTAACTGACCGGATCGCCAGACAAGGCAAACGCACGAACGGGAGGCAGGAAGTTAGGTGGGCCGATGAGATTAAAAAGTTCGCAGGTACAACGTGGCAGCCGAAAGCAACAAGACCCGGCTGAATGGCGGATAAGGGAGAGGCCTTTGCCCTGCAGTGGGCGTAGTAAGTCTGATGATGATAATCACGATGATGATGATTATGATGATGATGATGATTATATGAGCCGATTAGCGCCCAATGACTCGCCATCGAGACCCAAGCTACAACCTTCGGATGACGCTTTCAATGCTCTACCAGCAATCTACAGGTGCTGAATGTGAAAGGGGGTAATTTCGGTTGCCTCAAGGTTGTATATACTTGAAGAAGAAAACTATTTTGAGGGAAGGGGTAGAAAAGAAATATGCAGGAGCAAGTTGGTTGAGGCCCCAAATCCAGGGCCCCACTACCTTGCGCCGCTCACCCAACTAGACTCGGAAGCATTAATTGCACCACTGGGTCCTAGCTGACAAGTTGTGCCTTTCACTGCTCCGCATTTCCTACAAAAGGTGTTGCCTCAAAAGATTTCAAGTTATCTGGGTTTCGGTCACATTCTCAAGATATGTGATATAAAGTTGGCAAACCACCGCACACGGATGCGTCACGGTACGATGTAGGTTATATTTTGCCGAGCCACGATAAATTTGAAAAAGACTCCCATGTGCACCTTGCGGAGATCCGTAGCATCTCCCCTTCAAGCGATTTGTGTGTGTGGACGGGGGGGGGGGGGGGGGGGGGTAAGCGAGAATGTCTCGTGAGGCCACTAAATGGGACTCTATTGAGGGAGGCTGGCGCTCCGCTCGGTTGGTCAAATCTCGAGCGTCCGCTCTCTCAATCCCTTCCAGGCCAGCGTGAGCGGGGCACCAAATTGGTCAAGTTAGGTCCCATCAGTTTAGTTATTTTTGCGGGTTGTACTTGAAATTCGACGTACCGACGCGCTTTTTTTTAAGAACAACTGTTGATTACGTAGAAGTTTCCGCCAAACTAAGATACTCTCTAGACAAAATAAATGCGCACACATTGACATGGTTCTCATGTACCACACTTTCCTCAATTGGGCTCGAGAAGGCGAGATAATGAAGAGATTTTTTTTTTTCATTTTCCAGGCGTTACGAGCGGTAGTAAGTGACCACCCCGACCGACGTTGTTTACCGTATGCAACATTGTTTGCCGAGCAAGCGATGTCCACATAGAGGGCCATATCTTAGCCAACGTGTACCTTACCAACCACATGACAAGCATAGCTCAGAGAGAGAGCTGCTTCAGGAAATGCGCTTATATATGTAGTCCATGAAGCAGCAAGGGGGGGCAGCGTTGTTCGGGGAGCGATGTGATAGAAGATAGAGGAAAGTAGAAGCTGCTTTATTGAGAAATGAGTACCCACAACCATGCACAGCGGCGGTAGAGTGGCAGGTACCGGGGTCCCTTAATACTATTTACAGTAATGAATGAACCTGAAGGTGCGGTGTTCGATTCACGATGCCGACGTGCACCCTCCGGTTTTTGTAACGAGGAGAGGGGAGCCGTGGCCTAACCCTCGGTGTCGCGAGCTTGAGGTTCCGTCCTTATCTTTATGCGGAGGGGTTAGTTGAAAAACCAAAATAGCAATACGCTTGGGGTAATTATATTTGATTGAAACGCCGAAGGATAAGAACCAAAAGGTAGGCCTATCCATCCCACAATCACTCCGCTTCTTTCTACAAAGCATGGGTTAACACGTACGGCTCGGCGTCCTTGGGAGAAAGATAAAATTAGTGGTGGTGATAGTGATTCAATGGAAAAAGAGAATACAGTTAGTTCTGCAACTCTATAGGGTGCATGGCACGGAGCCTAAGAGGAGTCAAAGAAGACAGATGAAAGGAGAGGCCACCTTTTCCATAAACGAGTGTGCACAACAACGAGTGCTAGACCTATAATAAGTTCACGTGCTACGTGACGCCAAACAGGCTCAGAAAGAGTGTGCCACACTAGTCTCCATGGCTACAGGTGGCGCTGACTGACACTGCCACGTTTAAATTCACATACAATGCCAACAAAGTGGCTGGGAAGATAGCCGCCGCGGTAGCTCAGTGGTAGAGCATCGAACGCGTTATTTGAAGGTCGCAGGTTCGGTTCCTGCTGACGGCAAGTTATCTTTTCACCCAACTCCACCTTGGCATTATTGTGTGTTAGATCTCTCTCACACACACACACACACACACACATATGTATATATATATATATATATATATATATATATATATATATATATATATATATATATATATATATATATATATATATATATATATATATATATATATATATATATAAGCAAGCCACCACGCATTTAGAATCGCAGCTGCGCTGCAGGTGCAAACGTTAGAGTTAATTTTCGGCAATCACTTCGGGATATCCAACATTGCGCCGGTCACGTCACACTCCGAACTTTATCTTTATGCATTAGCTATTTTATTTTTAAGGTCAGTTTTCATCAAGACTGTCACTGATACAATTCGCTCGGACTCTGGTGCCGATACGGACAGAACAAGCGCATTCATTGCTCCCTTTGCGATAAGCGCGAAGGCTTTGTGTCAGGAGGACCTTTACATTTTGCATATATTCGTCTAGACAGCAATTAACGCTTTAGACAAGCTACATCACCCACGTATTGATACCGCAACTTCTATTCCTGCTAAAGGTGTTGACATGCGACGTCTTGAATACTTTGGAATAAAATGACGAGGAATTAGCCCACGCCCAATTGGCGACGATGATGGACAAGCATGTGAGGTTTGAAACGTCGTGGTCGTGCGGTGGCTTCAATATTTGCCAATGTTGCCGCACAATATGAGCCCCACATATTTCCACTGAGTTTTCAAAAGTAGAAGAAGAAAAATAGCAAGGGCATATTTTCTCCCGCCAACAGTCTGAAAGAAGCATAGGCAATTCGGCGCAAAGTAGCCAAATGTGGTAACCCTGAAAGTTTACCGCGGTTCGAACATAGCTTGCACGAAAATGCTGTCGTTAGAAGACGGCGACTGACATTTGTCTCGTTTTTTTTTTTTCCTCCAAGAGACATAAATCCCAAAAACCGTCTGTAGCAGAAAATCAGCACGAACTACAGCCTGCGCACATGCTGTTTGCAAGCAATTCGTTTCGCAAGAGAAGTTGACCTTTTTAGTCATTATTTCCTCTATGCAAAGAGGTGGCTTGAAAAGGCAAAACAGGATGAAGCGCGGGGTAATTAGATTAGGATGAAACGCGAAGGTAAAAATAACCAAAATAGGCGATCGATCCTCCCCTCGTCTGCCATGCACAGTCAGCAGAGTGATGCCAGCGCAGCGCTTCCTACCAGCTGTATTCATGGGGTAACGAAGAGAAGGGAGGTGCAAATTCAGTCTCGAGGCGTTCACTATTTCAAAAGTGACCCACAACGGTCTATATATTCTAAATGAAATGCGCAAATGACAGTGCCCACAAACGTGCTAATCGATTTTGAACGGCGTTGTAGGAGTTCGTTTCGTTGGATATTAATTCACTCTGAACAACAAGTGACCTGCGTTTGAGACGGGCTCCGAAGTGTAGGTTCTTGGTTTCTTTATTAAATGTCTTCGTTTCTTTATTAGTTTCTTTTATTAAATATTGTGTACATGAGCTTACAGCATCAGAAATACGCTCTCGTGTCATGTAAATCCTGGAACAGCGATCATACCAAATTCTAAAGTAAAATTTTCGAGCAATTACACCCGCGTCAAGCTGCGCACGACTTGTCGAAGGCTCTCCAAAAAAACTCGCGACGGGGAGCGCTTTGCTACCGATACAAAAAGACGCACGCTTCAGAAATCTATGCAAATAACGAAACAGGGCTTCGCTTCCGACAGCGCATTACTTCACTTCCAGAACACAGATGTACGCTGTACACACAATCAGCACTTCCGCATCGCAAGCGCATAGGATCGATTCAGTTAGATTTTCGCGCAAGTCTGGTCGTACAAGTGTAAAGAACAACACTGTGCGGCGGGAGACGACTTTTAACGTACGAAAGCAAAAACGTTCCCGCGAGTGGGTCAGCGCTAATTTCGTTCGTTAGAGAGCCGAGCGGGCGATAGAGCCTCATTGCGCTGCTGAGCTCATGCGAAGGGCGTTTTATTGCGCGAAGAACGTGCAGTAAAAGGACTCGCGAGCCGGGAATCGGAATGCCGGAGACGAAGCCAGGGAGTAGTACCGCGCGAAAGAATCCCTCATCGACAGCGGTGGCCGAAATTTTTTGCCTCTCCTCCTCCCCACCGCGCCCTAGCGCGCGCTCCCCCATTTAGAGAGAAAGCGAAAGAAAGATGGAGGGCTTGTTTCCGGTCATAAAGCTTCCGGCCTGACTCGCAGCGCCGCCCGGTGCCAAACCCGTCATATTCGCGGGAGAGAATGAACGAGAGAGAACGAAAAGAAAAACCAAATTTTTGGGGGGGTGCTCACGGCGGCTGCCCCAGCGAAGATGTTGTCACCGGAATGGGCCATGTTGTCGACCTGTGCTAACTAGGTTCTCGTGCTCATCGAATGCACCGAACTGCGGCACCGAAAGGAGAACGGCGGCGATACAACGCACCCGCCGAGTGACGGAGTGACGGCGGCCGAATGGCAGCGGCAAAACAAACCGCTCTGGCCGGGCTGTGACACGGCATGCCCGCCGTACTACACCGCCGACCGAGACTCCCGAGGTAGGCGAGGGATCCATCTTTGACTCCGTGTGCGTGTGCGGCCGCGGAACCAGCACGGCACTCGGGAAGGAAGCGATTCGGCGGGCCGACGCTAGCCGCCGATCTTGCGGGTGACATTTGAGAATTGGCGTTCAGCGGCGCGACGTATGCGCCCTATCAATCAACCGCTCGTCGCGGGCGAAGTCTTGGTGGCCTCGTCGCTAAGTTCGGACGACGCCGAAGAGCACAAGGACTGTGAAACACGAGGGAGGTGTGACGAGCACCACGTGTGCGGAGCGCTGGCGAACGGGGAACAGCAACACCCTGGCGCTATGTACGCGCAGAATGGCGATGCCCTGGACGGCGCCCAGCCATTGCTCGGCGCTCCGTTGAAGAGGCGACGCAGCGAGGACGGTGAGCGAAACAAGAGGGCTCGCGACTTCCAGCGCGGCTGCGAATCCGACGGAGACCTGCCCACAAGCGTCGGCGCGCAGACCACGACCCAGCATCATCATCACCACCACCACCATCACAAGAAGGCGGCGACCGGTGCAGCCGACGAGCACCATCAGCCTAACAGCGGAGATGTGCACGGCGTCTGCACGCTCGAGGAAGGATCGCTGAAGCTCAAGATATCGTTGCACCGGCCGCATGCTGTCACACCTGACGGCTTATCGGCCCTGCCGACGGGCAAGCCCCCCAGCAGCGATAAGGCGGCGCATGCAAGCAGCCGGCCGCAGAGCCCTCTGGCCAAGTCCGACGAAGTCAAGGCGGTTTGCGACCCATATTCCCCCACAGCACTACCCGCCGCGGACAGTGCCGGCAGTGCAGTGCAAAAGGTGGACGCCGTGTTTTCTGTAGTGGACTCTGATTGTGACCCGAAGCTCGAAGTGTTCGCTTTGCCTCCGAGTCCCGTTTCTCCACTGGTAGTTCGAAAGGTGGAACTTCCCAAGACTCCTTCGCCACAGGAGGTGGCCTCAGATTTAACCAAAGATTCGTCGATCACCCATAAATACGATACCTCAGCCGCTGCTATAGACAATGCGATTCGGGTGGACAAGCAGGCAATATGTAGCGACCCGCAACTCAGGAGCGCTTTAAACAAACCCATATCAAACGCTGTCTTTTCCAGTGCAACCATACCTGCAACGTCGAAGGCACACCATTCAAACACTGCCCTTACGCCGAGTGGCAACCATGCAATCTCCAAAGAGCTTTCGCGTATGATGGACACTTGTGCGCGAGAACACAATTCAGCGGGAGGCCGTTCTCGCAAGAGCACCAATCCCGGCCACTACGTGGCCTACCAGGCACCGCACAACCGAAGGCGACTCATTCAGGACACTTCGAAGCTGAGAGGAAAAATGAGAAGTCCCATAGAATTCCCAGCGCCCCTCGAGAGCAGAAAATCTCCGCAGAGCTTCCACCACGTGAGCATGTCAGTCGGCCAAAATGGTGGACGAGGCTTTGTCAATCACAACTCGATCTTGGACCATCCGAGTGTGCATGCGAGAATGTTCCCTCCCCCGGGAGCATCACCTGCCAGGCTGGCTTCGCTGCTGACATCGAACAAGCAGCTAGCACCTTCCGCAGTTAAGCAGTCCGCAGTGCATAGCAAAGCAGGCACGTCATCGGATGCGCACCAGCCACTGGACCTCTCCAAGGCAGTAAGCAAGCCCACAAAGATGGCCCGCTTAGCTCAAACGACAAGAAACTACGTTCCACCCATTATGCTGTTCTACATGAGATCTCGCAGCAGGCAGAGATTGGAACACATCGTGGTAAAGCTATGGGCCAAACAAAACATCCCACTTCGGGGGAGGCCTCGTCCTTAGTATACCTCTCTGCAAAAACATGTTCCCAAGACGGTGTTTTGTTGAATCGGAGTGCTCGTACTGCTGGAACTACGGTTGAGTGCAGCTGCGTGTAAATGGTGTTTTGCAGATCACACAGTTATGTGTTCGATATTGGGGTGGGTGGGGGACATCTTGTTACTTTACATTAAAAAAAAAGTGTGCAGCAGTATTAAGTAACCTGTTGTCTCGATTTTGTGTAAAAAAACAACAAAAACAAACGCACTGACGTTTCGCAGATCAGCGTTGTGCGGAATACACGCGGCACCACTCATGCAGAAAGCGCATACTAGACAGTTTTTTTTTTTATTATTTTTTAACCTCGAAGGACCTCGCGCCGGCTCCACAATAAAAACGTCGCCGCCAAGATGGAGTAGGTAGGTTTATCAAAAGCACGACTGCCCTGCGTAATGGCGGCCGGTATGACATCGCGACAAATTTTAACAAGGTATTTTTTTAATGGGCGGCAAAATCTCGCCCCCGCGTGCGCCACGCGTTGGCGAGGAGGAGACGCACGCGCGCGCCAGGCAGCGCCGCGACGCGTGGCGCCCTCCCTGAACGACCGGAGCAGGCGGAGGTCTTTTACCCCGTTAGCGCTCAGGGGCGAAACACGCATCGACAGCGGCGGCCGCGACACAAGTGAGCGCTGCGCGATGACGCCGGCCGCGAAGAAGGGCAAGTACGACGCCAAGTTCAAGCTGCAGGTGATAGAGTACGCCGAGCGCTACAGCAACCGCGCGGCGGGAACCAAGTTCGGCCTCAACGAATCCACCATCCGCGGCTGGCGCAAGGCGAAGAAGGCGGCCACCACACCGCCGGCCACGCCGCGCGGTCATGCGACGACGACGACCGCCCTGGGATGGCAGCCTCAGCACCAGGCCCCTCCGGTGACCCCGTATTGCGTCCCGAGACCCCCCGGAGAGCGTGCCGAGCCGTGGCCGCGCGAACCCTGGTGCGGAGGCGAGCCCGCACGTGCGCTGGCAGCCGCCGACGCGAACACGCACTACCGGAAGTGTCCGGCGCGCGAGCCGCAGGCCGGCGAACCGCCGTCTCCGGCGCGGGCCTCGGCGGCACCACCAGCGTTCCTGCCCTGCGACTACCCGCAAGGCTTCGCGCCCCTCGTGCCTCATCCGCCGCTGCAGCCAGCCCCGGCGAAGCGCGTCCTGCTGAGCGGCGGCGACTACGGCAACGGCTTTCCCGAGGTGTCCGTGCCGTTCACGGTGATAGCCGAAAAGGCCCTGCGCGCGATCTGCGACCGTCGCGGGCCGGCTGCACCGAGCACCGCGTGCGCCTCGAACAACCGCGAGGTGTTCGCCAGCTTCCTGGGACTGACGCCCAACAGACTGGTGGACAACGTGACGTGACCGGCGGCCAAGGCCGCGGCGGCAGCTCCGGTCGGGGCGGCGGGCCCGGAGCAACCGCGCACGCGGTCCCGTCACCAGTAGTCAACGCCGCCCGTTTTTTCGGCTCCCTCCTCGCGAGGACAGCGAAGGAGGCCCGGGGTCGCCAACCGGACCACGTTTCCTGCGCCGACCCGAAAAATTTGTCCCCGCGGGAGGGAAGCACGCCTGATCACGTCCTCCGAGAGACAGGCCTCGCGCGCGCGAACACACGCGTTTCTTCGGAAACGTGCTCCTCTACTTAGCTCAGTGCAATATTTGATGTTATTTCCGACGTTGGCGATGCGGCGCCTTCGCGCGAGCACTTCGTTATGCAAAGCTCTCCTGCCTTACTCTTAATAATATTAATAAAAAAAAATGGCCCCTGCCCTCCAGACTTGCCATGCCGAAAGCGCGATTGCTTTTCTTTTTATTTTTGTGTGTAACATGGCGCGCGAACGGTTTCGCATTTGGCGAAACTAATAATAATAAAAAAGAACTCTGAGCTCCTTCAAACGCGCACACGTTTGCCTGTGCAATCAGTGCCACTTTACTGCACCTAATTACTTTGCTTCTTTTTTTGTCGCATAATCGATGCACAATACTGCGATATCTGTTTGTGTACTTGCTTTTCTTCCCTTAGAAGAATTAAGGTGTGAGTGTGTGTATATATAAATGGATTTATCAGAACAGTGATACAAGAGTTTTCATATAGAGCTATGGCTTATAACGACAAGGCATTACCTGGCTGTGCTTGATGGATGCCCGTTATTTTTTACTGGCTCGCTGAGGTGCCGAGCGAAGTGCTTACTTAAGGTGACTGAAGCAAGGTGACCTTAATGTGTTGGCCACACAAGTGTGATGTTTGCCTTCATGTTGCACCCTGTCAACTGTGTGCTTTAAAGAGCTCCATGGAAGCTAGCCGCCACTGCTGTGAGAAACGAAGGTAATAATGATGCCTCTGTCTGCTCAACGAATAGTCCCTGGTGAAAGACGCTTGTGTTTCACCACAGTGTCAAGTAGGCGAGTTCCCTAAGAGCTGTCTTTTCTACAAGACAGTCCACATTCCAGTCTCCAGCCGTCCTGTATTTGTAGGTGCATAACGTACTGCTCAAAGTTGCCCAACTGTCTCTCCTGCCGAGACTGTTTTGTTTGTCGGCCAAAGCTGTTAACCCTGTGCCTGGACAAGTGCTCTGTATTGATTGCGAGAACAACCTGGATGCAATTAAAGGATGACATCTTTTTTTTTTCCTGGATTCCTTGACTGCAATGTTCCATTGTATAAAAAAAAAAAAACAGCAGGAGAAATATTTTGTCTCATCTGCCTCACATCACTATTGGCACGACAGTATCAAGAAAGAGGGGCTTGCAGTTATCAGCAGATAGATACTCGGACAATCATTTCTTGCAGCGGCCTATCTTGCTTGTTACGATTTCACCCGATTTAATCTGAGGTGGTGGCACTATGCTGATTGAGAAAAATTAAGTGTGAGCTTGCACAAGCTATGCAGAAGCTAGCATGCAAGTAAAAGAAAGAAGGTAGAACACGACCTAATAACTAAAGGTTTGTAGGAATGGCATTAACGGAAATTGCTGTCCCCACTAAAATTATCGCAACCTTACAAATAAAACTGTATTTTTCTCGTTTAAAAGCTTCGTTCGTGCCAGCTTCTGAGTGAGTGTACACAATGCTATCTTCTTGACATTTTCGAAATATTCTTACCTAAACCTTAACTCAGATCTAAGGCTTAAAAAACAACAAACTGCCCACAATTTTTCAACATAGCCATAAATACATATTTAGCTTTTACAGTAATAAGGTAGCTTTCGATCAAGGTTAAAAGGGCATTGATGGAAAAGGTAGCTAAGTTACGTTTCTGCGATGCTAGAAATTTCAATCTTGCCATGATTAGCTGCTTACTGAGATAGAAGAGCTGTAATAACTAAAAACAACTTGCAGTTATAAAACTGATCTCTCAAGCCGTCATGAGATTTGGGCATTGACTGCTCGGGATTAGCTGATTGTGAACAAACAAGAATTACACATGGATACAAGGACACTTGATATTCGATTTAGTGAGTATTGTGAACTTACTATTGTAAACCTAACAGTGCCATATGAGCAAAAACACTGCTTAGAAATCAGTTTCAACATTCTAGTATTTTGGCACTGCTCTGTTTGGGCACAGAATTCAATAGAAGAAAGCTTGCCCGTCATCTTCACTGCTAACACCTTCCATCAGACAACTGTGGATACTGTCATGACCCTTAATGTTGAAAAATGTTATGAACAACGGACCCGAGCTAATGAAGGTGGCATTGCTGTTTGCATCTGCTTCTTATAATACGTGCCAACCTCGAGCTCTGTATTGTCAAGGATTTTCGAGAGAAATTTGGAACATATGCGTCCCACTGCCCACTGAAAGTCAGTCGTTTCATAAAACAAAATTACACCTATTTTTTATATATACAAACACATATTCTATCACACAAAAAAGTAAACTAAATGGTCATTGTAAATTCCATTTGCTAACGGTACTCAAGCAGATGTTGGTACTAGGTATGCCTGCAACAGTCTAATATTTGTATGTAAAGGATGCTCAACTGCTTCCTCATTGAAAAGGAACTTCCCTCCACGAAGCAGAGTGAAAATCAGATACTGCTGTCGGCTGCACCCAATGCTAGACCACAAGTTCAGAAATATATCACTGAATGGTTGTCAACTTGGCATTGCACAAAATTTTTAGGAAAATGTATAGTTGTAAATGAATAGAACTACTATAATGGCATATTTAGGAACTGGTGAATATGAGACAAACTTTTTAAGCTTGCTTCTCACGTTGAATCTAATGAAGAGTGCACCAGAATGTGATGACAAAAGGATACAGCGCGTGCGAGGGAAAGGATTCGTATGGGAACATACGTATGCATTGCCTGGCAAATTCCATCAAAACTACTAGTGAAGCCGCTTTCCAGAACAGCCACATGATTGCACTAAAAGTCTGAAAGCAATTGATTCCGTAATTTCAATTTAAAAAAATTAGAACATAGAGAACAAAAAAGTGGGTCATACGAGTCCCACTTCCCCACAAAGGGTTAATAAAAGATTTTATAATCTGAGGGTTATGTTTTTTCAGAATGCCACAACACAACATGTGGACCATGAAAACAACATTCAAAAACTATATTTGTATAAAAAAAGCAACTAGAAGCTACTCAAAGCCCATTTAATAGAGGCCACAGCTTCGATGAATTACAAACACTCTTCTTGAGCAGGTCAAGTTTGTATGAATCGCACTGCAAAAACCTGGTGGTTACTGTCTAATCCTTGTGCCCGATTTTCAATAACAACAGCACTGGCACCTAGTTTCAAGTTTCTATGCAGATTTATGTGTGCTGGAAAAACCAAATAGAGTGTTCTAGGATAAAGCAGCAACATTTGAGGAATTGCATAGTATAAGCACTTCTGGGCTTAAGAACCGAAAAAACAATCACTAGTCGAAACACGTCAACATGTTCCACTGTGTTGCAACAGATTAAACTTGACTCTAAAATCAAAATGACTTCATGCTGCCACCTTAAATGTGACCTAGGTGGCATCAAGAACGGCCAATAGAGTGAGTAAGAGAAAAACTCCTGGCAACATATCACTTGAAGCGGAGTACTAGTGACAACACTGCGAGAGAGAGCGATCCAGTAAGGAAAAGCTGCAGTAGTGGCGAGTAGCAGCTCCAGTGATGCTTGCTTATTATTTATACTTAACAACAATGGTTAATTAGGCTTGGCCTCCCTAACAGGTGCAACCTTAAAGGGCATGAGGAGAGCAGAGTGGGTAAGGGAACAGACGGTTAGGGCATCGTACTTGTAATCAAGAAAAAGAAATGGGCATGTAGTGCATAGGCAAGGTAACTGGTGTTCATTACAGAGGCCCTGTAATACTTTTTCAAGTAATCTTCAAACGGCCTCATTAAAGAAACTTACTGCCTCACCGATTGACCTGCATCAAATATTTCCAGAATGTGTCCAGCATGCACTGATTTACGAGGAATCGTAGCACACTGTAAGCATTCTCTCGCTTCTCATTCCGATGAGCGTGCTGGAAGCTAAACAGGTACGGAAAGAAGTTACATCACACATGCGTCATGATCCTGAGCACTTTCTTTTCCTTTTTTGCTTCAAGCATGCGTTAATTTTAGTGGGATCACGAGCGAGCACATGGGCACGTCGCAGCGTCACAGGTAACTACGCTGCTCACGATGCTGAAAATAGCCAATAGCTGTGGACTTTGCGTTTATGATGTGGTAATTTGGTTTATGGCATCACTTGTAGAGAGAAAAGCGAACAGTTTCTAGCTGACTTTGAGAATCAATTGAGAATTCCATGCCGCGTGCTGCACTATAACGTTTGGCTCACATGCTCTCGGAAGCCTTGCCTACTGTTCAGCAGTGTTTCCTCACTATGCTCGAAAACAAAAGCATTGCAAGGCAAGCGCGCAAGGGGAAGCTGAAAGTTAGGTGGCTAGATGATATTTAGAAGTTTGTAGAGATAACATCAGTGCAGCAAATACAGGACGAGGTTGATTGGCAAAACGTGGGAGCGGCATATTACCTGCTGTGGGCTGATGATGCTGGTGATGATGATGGTGCATTCATACATTGTTAAAATGGTTGACTGGGCAAGTTGGTGATTCATAATGGTTTGAAATATCAGTGCAACACATAGACAGCGACAGTGCTTGTCCGTGTCTTAGCTGTCCCTGTCAATGTATTGCACTTGTATTTCAAACCAGTATTCATAAAGCCACACTGTGGTTTTCATAAACTTGATAGTGGAGAAATAGAGATCAGTTTTGACAACCTGAGCTCGCTGAAGACTACCCCGACTACGTGACAATATGCTCAGTAGCAGAACCAGAGAGCTGCGACAGCAAGTAGTGTGTGTTGTGCCAAAACATGGGCCTCTATGGGCTGCTGTTTCGGGGTTCTTCATATCAGTTACAACCAGCCTAGATTCTTATTACGTTCTCAAGGCCCTGCCAATTCATATATTTACCTCCTCTCTCCGTCCCCTTTAATGAAACTTCAGTAGTCCGTAAACTCACAAATGGCTGCAGAGTGCCATGCCCACAGAGCCGTCATGGTGAACTCCATTGGTCATAACTGTGTTTTTACTTTCAATAAAAAAGAAATAGAGCAGCATGTAAACACTCAAAACTTTTTAATAACGCATCGAATAGTAGTATCTAATCTGCTTCACAATTCAAATAAAATGGTTACTATCCATAAATATAAGTATTTGACAGAGTTTTTGAATATTTTAAAATGTCAAATGTGCTATATAACCATAGGAGCAATCCACTAAATGATTCGGCACGAAACTGACCTGATTTACAATAATGAGTGCCACAGGTGCATAACTCACTGACAAAGGCTCATTTCGCAAGGCTGCGCAGTGAGCCACGGGGAATGCTGTAGAAAAGGGCTTTTAATGTGGACCTACGATAGTTATGACAACTGCATGAGCTTTTTTACCCCACCCAGCTCGATCAAAACACAGCTGTCTTAGGTGCGAATCGAGCAGTGAACCTCCCATTTTACAATGCAACATCAAAGATAGCAACGAGCTTCCTCACGGTGATGCAACGTAAGTACAGTCATTATGGAACGGTAGTGAAAATGTGGCGAGAAAAGGCCAGGAAAGTTAACTGCTACGTGTGTTTTAGAAATATGCAAAGTATAAAAGAGAAACAAAGAGGACGTAGTGATATTTTTCCACAAGTGAGAATCAAATCCACATTTATAACATCAATAAAACAGTGCTTTGCCGATCAATCGGCGACAGTGACAGTTTTCTCCACCGTTTTCTTCGTTGTTCATGCATAAGATATGTACAAGTCCAGCCACGGGAATATTACCCAGTGTCACTAATAGCCATAGTAACGGACATGAACTATCCTTTTATCATGGGCATCCCATAGTGTGTAAGTTTAGAAGCAGATACCTGGACTAGTATAGCATTAGAGGGCCTTGCTATGTAATATGACAGAAAAACAACCCAAAAGGACCAAGCATGGCTGATCCTCTTGATTTAGCTTAATTTTTTTTTAGTGAAGGTAACAGACACACTCCTAGGTGCAGGGAATGCACACAGAGCACGATGAACCGATGCACTGTGAGAAAACAATATTAAGAGACTGAAGAATACTACCTGTACAAAATACAAAGAAAATGTAAAAATACAAAGCCTACTTAAGGTAGAAAGGACATTCAGGGATCCAATGAGTTGTGCCATCTTGAAAGGGTACTGGTCTGAACAACTTGGTAACACTTCCTGCTAAATTTATTTGAGTGCCACTTAAAGAACAAAAAGAAGAAACGAGCAGAATCTAGTTGAAGTAATGAAAGTGTATGTTAAATCGAGTTGAAAGTGTGTGCTTGTCTGTTCATTTCTTGACCTTATGAAATACCCATCTTGCCGAGATTATGGTACAGAGAAAAAAGAACGAGCAGGGCCTTTGGTGACAGAGGAAAGCGGGTTTGTCACTGAAGGCTATACATGTATACAACTTAGGTCGATCAATAAAGTACACAGAAGCTGTTCTGAGCACATTGGCAATGCCTGCATTTCGTCAGCTGCACAACATAGTAAGCAAACAGTTGCCAATACATGCCGACTTATTTTGTGTTGTAGTTGGTTTGCTAGTAAATGTACAGGCCAGAAAACAGAAAATAAGCACTTAATGATGTGTTCATGTACTGTAAAAATGTCTCCTTTATGAAAAGTACCACCACTCATGATCACTTATGAAAACCTTAAACAATGAGAGTGCCTGGTGAACATTTTACGTATTGCTAGCTCCTTCTCTCCTTTCGAAAAACCGCCAGTTTGCCTGCCTTTTTGGTACTCACAAAAGAACCATCTGTCCTTTACATCTGTGCTGTCGATATATTCGCTATATCATGATGCATTTGATAACCGTGTGAAAACATTGCTTGCAACACCACAGATTGTTAATAAATATTCACGGTCACGTTACCACCCAAAAACAGGAAAGGCTCAACATACACCTTCCCAAATGCCTCCGGTACTGGTAAGCACTTAGTCTACATCACATGAAAGGAGTTGCAGTCTGCATCCTGAAGCAGCAGCTGTTCTTTTGTAAGTCGTGTGGTGCTGGTTTCCATAAGGAACATCACTTCAGTGTGTGGGGACATGCATGACAATAGTTCACGTGGCATGTAATGAGTGGCAAATGCGACGCAGAGGGGTCAAAAACGACTCTGGTTTTGGCAACATGCAACTTGGCAAGTCTTGAAACACGAGGCCTTGTCAAAATGTGGCATGGTCATTGTTGCGGGGGGCTCTTAGTGTCACGTCTGAATCGCTGGATAAGTATGTGCCCTACATTCAAAAGACTTCATGTATTGCAGTGCCTCTTCTCAATTTGCCTTCAGCTATTTCTGACCTGGCACAGGTATTGGAATGAGGAAGCTTGCATTCTCGTGAGTTCATTTGCCTTAAACGTTTCCGAAACTGACATGATGCAAGTGGTTATGTTTTAGGCAGGCGACTTTGTTGATCCCTTTATTTTTATGCAGGATTTCTAAACAGTGTGGAAGGAGGGAAGGGAATATTCTGGTACATTACAGGTCTGATTTGATTGTGTATGTCCTGGTTTGCCACACAGTACTTTGGAAGGAGCAACAGATGCTTTAAAAATGAGCTCCCGACCACTCAAAAGTGTTGAGAACACGAGTGCATTGCTGTGAGCCCTCAGCTCATCAGATCCAATGTTTGCATGTATACAATAGCCTGCAAGCACCACCTGTACATAGGCATTCATTTTTCTTTCCAATCATCTCTGGTGTTTGATTTCTGGTAGAAAGAAGGTGGCTCTGACGGGTGAAGGCAACAGGTTCAGCCCCATAAGAAACTACCCATTTCACTTTCAACATGAACCGAGCAAATGCGAGCAGAAAGTTTGTACTATATATGGGCTTTATTCTATAGGCGTGCAAACAAGAGGGAAGCAGGTGTGCCCTTTGCCCCCCTTAGTCACCTAAGGGGACACCAGGACTTTCTGACCTGTCAAAACCTGTGAGGCCATAACCCTGCACTTTACACAATGTGCAGGGTTATGGCCTCACAGGTTTTGACAATAATGGCATCGTGGGACCCCTGATGTTGCATTCCAAGAACTGCTCACTTCTATACGCCTTAAAAGCAGAGGACCAAAGGCAGGCAATTGTAAGAGGCCCATAATCACTCAATTTTGACTTTTGTGTTTATTGTGGAGCTCGTTTTCTTACTTGACAGACATGGAGATTGGGGGCTACTGTGGTCACTCTTGGCACACCCCAATGAAGAACATTACACAAGTCTATGCTTTGTCCTATTAGCAAACAGTGGGTGCCTCCTGAAGGACTGCTGTTTATGTTTCACGGCAGCTTGTTCTTACACGGTTTGAGATACATAGCCCTGGGCATGGCCCTGCGGAAGAGACCACACTATTCAAGGGTTCAGAGGTCAGAATACGACTGGAATTGCTGAGCATTAAACCTTGGTACTGCCTTTTTTCGGAGACCTGCACACGTCCGACATGAATGGGGACCACCACTCCTCAACAACGACGGGGTAGCTCACCCTTACGTGAGCTCTTGGATGATGGCCAGCACTCACCGACGCGCATTGTAGTGGGGAAAAAAAGGCAGGCAACTTACCTGGTCAGCACCAGTGAGGGGACACACTTGCGACAGGTATTCAACAAGCACCAGGTGGTCACCCAGATGGAAGCAGCGCCCTTTGCCCTGGCTGTACAACCACTCGGCCTTTAGGCTGCATCACGAACATGCAGAGAACACTGATAACACTGCTAGACGAATGAAAGAGAAAGGCGGCATCTAAACAAGAGTGGCATGGGACTTCATAGAGAGACTGTACGAGCCTCCATGACAACACCACACTGATTTTGAAGTGGAAGCTTTTTGACATGAGCGGAAGAGACAATGGATGTGGACGGGAAAGTTTTGTGGCACAGTGAATAAAATGTGCACAAATATACAGTGTAAGAGAAATTAACTGCACAATGGCTACATAGGGTGCATTCATCATCAACTGCACAGATAACAATATACCTGTTTTGTCCTGTTTGTGTCACTGATGTCATTATCTGTACTGTGCATAATGTTGAATGTTGACTGATAACCCAGCGTGCTGACTCTCTCTTACATGAAAGTTCCTCCAGACTACATCTTTTTTGAGAAGTCATTTGTTGGCAATAAAATAATTATATGTGAGTTTGCTATTCATGTCATATAGTAATTAAAGCATAGAATAAGAGGATAGCAGAGTACTGCCATGTTATTGCTGTGTTTGTCTTACTTTCTAAAGTGTTTGTTGATGACACTATTCATTTTATGTGAACAGATATTTAGAAGGTTCCATAGTAAAAATAGCTGTTGCAATCAAGTCAAGCTTTAATGCATCCCGAAAATAATGAAAAATCGTCAGATATAATGCAAGTATATAAGTTATTTTATTATGCTTTATGTTAATGAAACATGCGTAACTATAATGTATTTAAAATACAAATGCTGGGCTATAGCCATAATGGCAAAGCAAATAATTTTTTACATACAGCCTAATATCTGTCTTCTTTTCTGCAGCAAAACTGTCAAATTTTCAGCAAGCACAAGCCAAAATCACTCATTCTGGCCATGCATGCACAAACTGGTTAAGCTGGCCTAAGGACAAGTCAACTCACTAATTTGATGTAATTTTGGTGCAAAGTGGATTCGTAATTTATCATTGTTCACAAGTCAGGTATCGATATGTGCAGCGAGCCATTAACAACGTGTGCTTTGCTAGTATGTCAGAGGAATTAATGTAGCCATGTTTATAGCTAGGGCTAATTTCTGCTCAAATAAATGCTTACAAGCTCAAGAACTGACGCAGGTCTAAAATTTCTAAACAATTTCTAAAATTTGTACATTACGTCAGCTTTCTTTTTATGCTAGTTGCACTATTGCATGTGCAGTAAAATCTCGTTGACACCATTCTGCATTATATATTTTTAAGCTTAATACATTTTTCTTTTTATTCTTGTTCAATGTGCCTAGGAAATAACGCATTTTTATGGGTTTCAAGCGATCACATTTAGGCCCTAGTCGGACAATACGACTGCCGAAGTGGATTTTGACTGATATACCTATACTCTATCTCACCGCTGCCATTCTGTGTCTTGAACACAAAAACCACTCCAGTGTCCTGGAGTGAACGTACACTCTGAAAGCCAACCTACTTGTATACCGTTAACAAGTAATAGCAATATCCACGAAGGAAAATCTTACTCTTGTAACCGGTTACACGTTCTACATAGACTGACCATAGGTGTGCCACCAAAAAATATTTTCCGACATTGGTACTATAGCATTTCCCGTGAACAAAAACACCATTCGTCTGTACAGTGCATGTAAGCCAGCCTGTGAAAAAAGGAGGGGAGAGCGGCAGGCAAAATGTATCCGGATACTTCTGCTGCCTCTTCAAATAAAAATATGTATCGCCCATGCAGAAAAGGAGCTGTCATATGGTATGGCGTAACTTCAAATTCTTTTATTTGCCAACATAGAGCCCACAAAGTTACCAAAACTGGTTGTAACTATAGCAGAAGGCTAGTTGAAAGTCCAATGAAAAAAAAACAACAATTATGAGCACATGTGATATGTCATGAGCGTACACATATATTTATTGAACTATGAGATTTGCATGGCACTAAAAAGAAATGCATCATAGTGGAAAACAAAGTATTATGCATTTTTAACGTAAGTATGTGCACAACTAGTTAAAAGAAGTGATAACATTAAGTTATATTTTAACTATTAATGCAAACATATGAAAATGCTAGATAAGAAAGGAATTCTCAGGTAATTTATCGTTGTTTATTCCACAACACCGTGCAACTCTAGAAGAGTTAGGTTAGATGAGTTGTGCAGCTGTAATGCACTCTAAGTGCATGTTTACACCAAGAAAAAACATACAAGGAAGATGGCGCAGTCACAGGGAGTAATAGACAATGATTAGTGTCTCTTTCTTGCAAGTATGTCCATCACACAAAGTACATTCCAAACTAGAAAACCCACGACAGTAGCTTTGGACATTGCAATTGTGTCTTATTAACAGTCATACATATGTCTATAAATGCTACCAAGAAGAAGCCCTGGCTGCAATGCCTGTTCCTGATCACTCACCTTTCTATGAGTTATCCAAAACAGTGCAAGTTCGATTAGGAAAAGTTAGCGTAAACATGGCACCATAAACGACAGCATCACCTTATGGTAGCTGCAATCACAATACAGTGACCCCAGCTGCACATAAATGTTACCACAATAAAAAGCTATGCATGCGGTAAGCAGGTGGCCCAGAGCATGCACGCATCACCTATAGTGAGAATGCAAAGGATTGAAGAAATTATGGGATAAGCACGTCCTTTAAAAAGGCAGTCCTGGCAGGGTACAGTGCTTGGTGGTAGGTGGCAAGACACTGGAAGTTGTAAAAGAATATGTCTACTTAGGACAGGTAGTAAATGCAAAGCCAAATCATGAGAGTGAAATGGCTAGAAGAATAAGGATGGGATGGAGCACATTCGGTAAGCATTCATAGTGGCGTGCTAACATAAATAAAAGTCTACCACTACCCCTCTAGAGGAACGTATATAACAACAGCAATTACCTGTACTTACCTACTAAACAAAAACCTGGAGTTTTCCGAAAAGGGCTCAACTTAAATTAAGCTGGACATTCTAAGAAACATAAAAGAAAAAGTGCTCAAGGCCGTGACAAGCATGCAATGTATTTCTCCCATGACATACGTCCCTCTTCGGCTTCTAGATTCTAAAAATATTTGTGGCCGTGGATTCGCAAGGCAATAAACTCCTTTACAAAAAAAAAGGCCATTTGATGGTTAATTGAAAAAGTGTTGCAGGGCCCCTTTAAAGAAGCAATCACACAAAAATTGTACTTCTTGTATTGCAATAAATAAATAATGGCCCACTTATCATGGCTGGAAAGCTCCTTTGCTCGAGCACACGAGAAATTATTATTTGAAGACAGTTTTACAGCCCCCAGTTTCCGTCTTGGCTTCAGAGAGCGCCGAGTAAAAACCAATCAGAGTGGTTTTCATGCAAACATACGTGGCTACATCAGCTAGCACACGAAACTGCATGCAGATGAACCGCACATTGACAACTCTTTTGAACAGAGTCTCCCAGATAATACTACTATCCCTCCTGTAATGTTTCAAAGGTACGCAACCCCCTGAGAAATTCTTCGCAGAGGCAAACACGTCAACCTCTGCAGTCCTGTGCAAGTGCATGAAGAAGGTGGCTCCTCTTTCAGTTGAAAAGGTCTGTTAGAAGACAGTGCTGGCAGGGATCATGTTAGCCAACCCAAACTCGTGAAGAAGCAGGCTGGCGGTGGTTTACATTGAAACTGAGGTGGTTTCAAGTTGTGAGGAGGGGCGTTTTACATGCAGTTGCATGACACGCACTTTAAAATTGATCTTAAATGTGTTCTAGGTCAGTGGTTCTCAGCAATAGATGTGTCGGGGACCCCTTGTAGACTGGTGTAAGTGATGGGGGACCCCTTGCAGTGGAGGGGAGGGAGGAACGGGGGTACATAGTTAAATTAACACAACTGGAGCGCGAATCAGTTGCCTTTTATTGCTACCAAAAACATCAAACAAACGTGCCACATCACTTCATTTTAGACAGTTCATCAATACGTGGCACAGTCGCGCTTAAACAGAGTTGCATATTTGCAGGCACATTAAACCTCTTTTGGTATTTACTTTGAGTCATGGCTGGACTAAACTGAAAAGAACATAAAAAAGTAGTTGAGGGTTTCACGACCACAGAAATGGCTTTGTGGACCCCCATTTAAGAACCGCTGTTCTAAGTTATATTAACTATTGATATGTTGTAAATGATGTGTGCATGTTCACACAAATATATCTCGCAAGTTATCTTACCTCCATAATTTTGTGCCAGTAATCCCGTAACTCAGAACGGCACAAAAAACACTCCGAGCGTCAAGGTAACATTGTGCTAAGCAAAGCTCCTGAACGGTAACGCCACAACAGATAACACTGCTCACCTTTCCCTCTGTGTGACAACGAAGTCGTCCAGGACTCTGAGACCAAGACACCAGTTGATGACGTAGGGCCTGTAGTCAAAACCACTGTGCAAAACTCATTAAGGGCTTTAACCTCTTCTCCTTGCCTCGAGTGGTCTGCAACCCTGCCAACTTTTTGTCCACCGCTTTAAAGAAAGTGGTTCAATTGAGAATACGTCTGAATGAGAATACATAACAGAATCAGAGAAACAGTGCCTCTTAAGCTGAGACACCAAGTCACACAAACAAAGAAACGAAACGATTAAAGGCTTTATTGAGTTCTACCTATGCATCAGCCATTCCTGCAGTACCATGAAAAAAACATTCCTTATCCAACATTTTGCTTACGCACCGTACCCACCGGTAACACTCTTCTCTCTATAGTGAAGGAAATTACATTGCTACCAAGGCAAAGGTGAGTTATGGTAACACTCTAGAGTGCCCACAAAACGTTGGTAAATCAAGAAAAGAAGCAAACAGGATAACTTATCTATTTCATTTTTAGTAATAAAGAAGATACCATCAGTGATGCTCATGGCCTGCTTGCCACCATTACTTGGTTATGTGTCTCCTTCATTAACTATCTTGCTTGAATACAATTTTGGTTCTATATTTGTACCATGCCATCTCTCGGTAAAAGCTTCCATTAGTGCATTCTAGATCTATTTAAAACGTAACCTGGGCCCTTTGTAAATGGAAAGTGCTGGGATGCTCCAGCCTCAAGGATCAACTCTAGGCATGGCTGCCAACTTGAGGTAAATTTTCCAGATTGAAGTAATTTTTTGGATCCATGTGGAAAAAAGGAAATCTTGGCATTTTGAGATAAATTTAACATGTCCCTACTCATTTTCTTTTGAATATATACAGTAGATTCTCAGTAAACAGAAATCTGTTAAACGTAAGTGCAGCTTAAACGAAACTATTGCCTCGGCAATGCTTGGTTTCAGGCTTGTATTCTGCCCCCATGTTCTCCTCTCAGTAAACGGAACTCCTGTTAAATGGAACATATTTTTCCGGTCCCTTCAGGTTCCGTTTACTGAGAGTCTACTGTATCTGCAATTTCATGGCAACCTTAAGCACTAAGATAAACACAGTTACTCTATTTTTTCGTTGTTTTTTTTTTTAATACTCTCATATATTAATAGCGATCACTGGGTTTTTTTTTTTTTTAATGCTGGCAGGCACTCCCGTCATTCCAATATATGGGTAGGCAGGTGATGGTCCACTGTGTTGCGCGGTGAAAAAGCACATGATTACCCATATATTTACCTAAGTTACTAAACATTTGCATTTAATTTTTACCTGTCCTTTCAATATAATGTGTTTTAGCCTGTGCTACTGATTTACTGCATGAAAAATACTATAATACCGTCCGTAACAACGAAAAGTACGACAGCCACTTTTATTGACGACTCTCTGATCAGCCATTAGACAAGTACAGTGCAGGGCTGTGCTGGCTCAGATCAGTCAGCAAGGGTTATCTGATGTACTAATATCTTACGTTGACGGTCTAATTGGGCAGCCTCTCCAGGAAAGACTCCATGTTTATTAGCAAACACTGAGAAGTTGAGTACACAGGACAGAACGTAAAATTCAAACTTTTGAACAAAGTGATGCAAAAAGGCACCCGTCCCGAAGAGTTATTCAGTACTGCTGTCTATTGACCATTGCTACGCTGTTGTTCGAATAATGCACCATTAAAAGTTATGCAAAACAAATACATCCTTGAAAATAATGATCAAACAATAGAAATGCTGGTGTCACAAAAAATCACAGGTCATTTCAACAATTTCACAAATGTGAGAGAAATTTCGTTAGAAGAAGGAAATTTCAGCCATCTGGGAGAGCAATATAGTGCGCACGGAATGGCAGCCGTAACTTGGGCCATCCAGGGCAATGAGGAAGCCACCAAGACCCCACAACTCCTGGCCACCACCTTGGCGACTCCTTTGGCTCGCCTCGCCAACCCGCAAGACTCGCCCAGTTATTTCCTTCATCTCTTTTTAAATAGGCTGTATCATTCTTACACTTTACACACGATGCAAGTCTGAAAGTTATGTAAATATAGTTATCCAAATCTTGGATGCCTTAACAACAAAGATAGCATGCACTTTGACAATGTTAGCCAAAAAATACCATTTGCAGAACGTTACTAGCTTCCCAATCTGTTGACATTGGTTGTAAATAATCATTTTTATAACACAGTTCTACGTGTCTCGTTCTCCAATCTGTCTGCAGTTTTGCTTCTTGTAGCATAATTATAATTTCCACTGTATATGCTAGTTTTCTCTATTACAGCACTTCAGATTTTCCTTCACATGCAGAAGTACTTGAAAAAAACCACCATAGCTATTAATGCAAGGACCGTCTATTCAATTACATAAAGGTATGGGCACTTCAAACATTCTATTAGACAAGGTTGACATTTCAGTGGTCCAATAAAAAAATCAACTCAATTCTGCAACTTCTTGTATTGATCAGTAAGATAAATTTGAACTTTATATTAATAGTACAGGCCCATACTTCCTTCAACCCACAACAAAACATTAAGCATATCTTTATTTAGTACAGCTTACTCAAGGAAAATCTTCATATATACTTTCATTGTAGAGCATTCCCTAAAAGCTTACATTTTTATCTTGTATAATGTATCTATTTTTTGGGGTAAATTTTTCCTTTTTTTTCTGTGTTTTGAAATTCTAAACTATGACATATTCTTTAACACTGTGAAAATTGTAAGACTGTTTTGCATATATTTATACTTGAAATCAATGACTTTTTAGCTATAAATGACTGCGTAACTACTGACTAAAGACTCTGCCACAGTCTCCAACTACAGGACCTCTTTTTGTATAGCTTCTCCCCTATACACATACTACTAGACAAAACAAAACAAAAAAACCTAAACTTGAACTAGTTGCTAATGCATGCCAAAAGTGGTGCAGATTTTCGCCATAAGTTTTGTTTACCTGTGTGCTTTTTTTACGAAAATTGGGTGCGGTTACAGAAGGTGTGGTTACACCACCACAACTGCCATGTAAAAAGGTCACCTGGTTCTGTTTGTAATTCTCAGACCCAACTTGAATTTTCTTGTACACTTCTTTTGAAACAATAACCATTTTCAACATGTTATTAAAACATCGGTCACCAAAACATGCAAAATACAGGCAAGAAGAAATCCAGCAAGGATACACAACGCCTCCGGTCATGTTAACGCAGGGGTTCCCGCCAATAGAGAAGCTCTCCAAAGACGACAGATGTGAAAGGAAAGATACCTGCAGAACACATAGGATAGGAGGTACAGATTGGTCCACTGTTAAAGGGAACACTCGATTGCCCACCATCAATATTCCTGGCCCTCTAAGAGCAAGTGGATTAAGAAACAATCTTCATGCAAGTCAATAGTCTGTCAAGAGGAGTCGGAACTTTTAACCACCAGTAGCATTATGCATATCTAAGATGCTATGATTCTGTAAGATAACGAAATCTAAACATGCTGCTCCCGCAGGTGTTCCCGTTAGCAGCAAGTATTGATTGATTTGTGGGGTTTAACGTCTCAAAACCACCATTTGATTATGACAGACGCCGTAGTGGAGGGCTCCGGAAATTTTGACCACCTGGGGTTCTTTAACGTGCACCCAAATCTGAGTACACGGGCCTACAACATTTCCGCCTCCATCGGAAATGCAGCCGCCGCAGCCGGGAATCGAACCCGCGACCTGCGGGTCAGCAGCCGAGTACCTTAGCCACTAGACCACCGCGGCGGGGCATCGTTAGCAGCATGTAGTGAACCCGTCTGCACATGATCACAGCCGGCACTTGCGCCAAAAATGAGTTTTAGCCTAATCAGAACTCAGTCGACGCAGTTCACTGTAATTATGCCAAGCCACGAAGAACAGGAGCAAAAGTGGAGGATGCATTAAAAGCAAAGTTCAGGTTGCTATAGACCTCCCAAAATAACTGATAAATGAAGGTCACGAAAAAATTCGAGTAGTACAGCTAATTACTTTGGCATACTTTGCTTACATGCTTGATCATCTAATATGTTACATGATAAGGGGATTCTATAAGGTATTGGAACTAAAAATCCCAGGTACATCTTAGAGGACTAAGATGTGCGTCGACAATGTCAGCTCTTTGTTCTTCAAGTTAACTGCTTCCCATTCGAAACAAGATGATACGCCCATAAATCAGAGCAGCAGCCTAGAACAATTTGAGCAAGCATGTGTTAAGGGATATTTAACACGCAGCAGCAAGTCTAGGCAGTTTGTCTCAAAAATTGAAGCAGCCTGTTTTAGGTTAAGCGAATAGGCAAGCAAAAATAAATTGTGTGGGAACAGACATACCTCCGTGAGATCGGTAATCTTGTTCTCCGCAACCGAGAAAACGCAGAGCCCACTCGGAAGGTATGCTTGTGCCTTTTGTAGAGTAGTAATCTCATTTCTCTTCAAAAGAAGTGTCTGCGAAAGAATACAGTATAACAATATTTGAGTCCTTCCTGCCTCCAGCACTGCATCAAAGTAGAAACGAACAAGACCTCGTACTTTCAGCATAACAACGGCAACAGCTATTAATGTCGAAACAAAGCACATAAGGGAACCCGGAACCAACCGTGAAAACTAAGATTCCCAAGTCATGCCGGGAGGAGACAGATTAATACGAGCAACAGTCACTACAAGGCCCACAAACACCAAGTAGCAGTCAGAATGTGCTGAACAATGCAATGAAGCTGTTTCATTTTGATACTCTGTCTCTGAAACCTCAACAAGCCACAAGCCCTTCTGTATGAGCACACAAGTAATGTGTGATGCTAACATAAAGCCACCAATTATGTGTGCTTGGCTCGAAATACATGTTTGTAGCAAGCTCAAACAAGGCAGACATAAAGAGATGTTACTGGGGTCAAAGTTTTGACAAGAGGACACCACGACAGCAAAGAAGAAGACTCTTTTCGTCAAAGCATAGATAATGGAGACATTCCTTGTTCAGTGACTTCTCGAAAAGTCTGAAGCCAACACTTTTGCAAGTACTTAGACATTAAGACATCAACACGCCGCTACGACAGTTCAGTGTACGTTGGCAAAAAAAGAAGAGTTTTTTGCTGAAAGATCACGCTAGGCATTAAGGAACCGAAAATTATAAGCAATAATGCCAAGCTCCCCCCCCGTAAAGGTTTTCATTGGTGAATTGTGGCTTTGGGACCATAATAACCAAACAGCTACAATAAAACTGAACGTAATGGCAACTTTTTTACAGTATACATTAAATCACAGTGTCCCTAAAATGTTCCTATTCTTTGTAACTGCTGCAACTTGATTGATTTGATTGATTGATATGAGGGGTTTAACGTCCCAAAACCACCATATGATTATGAGAGAGACCGTAGTGGAGGGCTCCTGGGGAAGTTTCGGTCCCCTGGGGTTCTTTAACGTGCACCCAAATTTGAGCACACGGGTCTACAGCATTTTTGCCTCCATTGAAAATGCAGCTGTCGCAGCTGGGATTCGGTCCCGCAACTTGCGGGTCAGCAGCCTAGTACCTTAGCCACTAGAAAACCACGGCAGGGAACTGCTTCAACTTCACCATGACGAATTAAGTGACCAGGCAGTCTAGCCATGAAACAGCATCTGGCCAATCATGGCCAATTTCATGGCCAATCTGGCCATGAAACAGCATGCACAATATAACGAGAGCCCTACTAATGCTTTACAGTATAAACTGACACGAGCTGGATCGAATGCATACATTTAGTCAGTTGCTGCCAGAACACCAATGAAGCTAGTTACAGCCAGCACGAGGACTTGGACTCGCTTCTGATTTCCCTGCAGTATGTTTGCTCAGTACATGCTATCTTGCAAATTCAAAAATGCGAAAGCTCTTCTGATGGTATTCTATATGTGTTCACTACTTGGCATACTCATACTCTGGAGGACAAGCCGCTCGAGTAAGAGTCATCTTGAGACAAAACTATCTAAAATCGGTGAATGGCCAGAAAAGGTTATGAGTTTGGAGCGCTAACTAAATTATGTCTTTTTATATACCTGCAGAGACCGCGTGATTCCTTATATGGCATACACAACCAGTGAGGAATATAAGCGAGCTAATAGGCAGAATTGAAATGATTGCCCCGACAAACATGTTAAGCTGCATTACTGAACCAGTGAGACTGCCTGAATACATGTGCAAGGCTAGATTATCGGACCAGTGAAGACCATTTCATTTTTCATCCTGCAGGCTATGTATTCAATGCCCGTTTTCATGAAAAAAAAAAGAATATCGAAACTTGCCATTACGTTCTGCTGCAAATCTCGCCCATCTCATTCAACTCAAATAAAGTGAAATGGCATGTCGCACACTTTGATTTCCCACTTCAAAAGGACGACTTACTTTTAACCGAGTAAGTGATGTGAGGTCAATCAGTGAAGGTATAAGATTCCCGGACAGGTCCAGGTACACAAGGGTTGTGGAGTACTGGATGCTTTGCAGGCTCTGCATGACACAGCAGACAGATTAGCATGTATCCCAGTAGATGGACAGTGACAAAACTGCACTCACCTTTATCCTGTTATTTGAGAGGTTTACGGAAACCAGGTACTTAAGATCCTTGAGCGCTGCACATGTAATGACAAGGCAATGTCTTGAAACAGACATAATTTATTATATAAGGCTAACTTCATGCTGAATGTTGACATAGCAAAAAAAAAAAAATTATTGTATGAGCTCTAAGTGGTAAACAACAGTGGCGAGTTGTGTAGCAGATATGCAATATGCGTCTTAAAAGCTAGACTATAAGATTTAAATGAAGTAAGGCTCACCTTCAATGCAGGTAATGAGATTGTTTGACAGATCGATGCTTGAGAGTTGTGATAACCTGGCCAATGAGTACATCCTTGTGATCTGGTTGTGGCTGGCAGAGAGCTGCAAAAGTGTGTTCCTCAAGTCAGATCTTATCACTGATAAGCATTACCATGTAACACAATACAGGAAACATTGAGGCAGTCCATAGATTGGTACAGCTACTGCATATGACCTGATGAAGCCATATATTGACATATTGTAACCAGGACCAGTAATGACAGCCATACCTCTCGCTTGAATGTATGGCACTGTATAATTGTACCAGCCAAGCTGCTGAAAATGAACAGCTGTATTTGAACACAGTATGAAATTGACTACACATCTATGAACTTCTAAGCGTGTAAATAACAATTAAAATAATACGATGGGCTAGTTTATTACTTGCTTAATTAAACACCAATCATTGCTTCATTTGCTACAAAAATATCTCTATTTCCTATGCAGCTCAATAGCAATTTAGGGCACAGACGATTTTCCTTTGATGCTGCAATAGATAATGCCTCAGTGGTAGCGTTCTTTGTATGCGTTCTGTTTTTTTCTGCCTGTGAATAATTTTTTGTGCAATGAAGTTCAGTTGAAGTTTAGCACTCCTCATGTATGTACTCTTTCTTTGTCCAGTCGTGTGCTGATATAACCATGCAAATTACCAAATTTCCAAGTAGAAAATTGGAAGGAGGAGACTGATTTCCATCATTTGAAATAAATAATGTCATTCACAACCATGCTTTTGATCAAACGATGGGCTTACACAACTCAAGAACACACACAACGATGACTGCATCAGGCACAAGACGACGACAGCAATGAAACAGTGGAACAGCACATCCCCAGATGCATATGGCAGCAGTATTATATGAAGCACTAAAGGGCAATACTATAACACCCTACATAATTTCCAAGAGATGCAGATAGGGTGAGATTGTTGACATAATAGATTACTGCACCTAATCAAAGCAGATACGTTATATGCTACTCAGATCTAAGGCACCAACATTGAATAACTAAGAATAATTGAGCCAGTATAGCTGATTCATCTATTTGCTCAACAAATGATGCCTATGTGCAAAAATCGTGGGTCCCCCAACATCATATTTGTTACGAAAGGTCATCCCTTGCACCTGCCTTACTCCTCCGAGGCTTCGATAACTTTTGTTATCCCTTATGATGTAACGGAAATGAATATTTCACAATTTCAGATAGTAAAACATAAAATAAAAATATACGAATAATATTTCAGAGGCTACTTCTTTCATATATAAAACTGAATATTCCAATGTCTTTATCTGATACAAGAGGATTTCCGCAAACACAAAAATATTAAAATAAAATTTTAGAAAATGTGCTATTATTGTCAAAACTATATATGTTGGCTGTTTAATAAAATATCACTAGCTTTGTTTTGCAGAAACACCATAAAAAGATGTCATGTTGTATAACTTGCAACCAGAATGATCTGCGACACAGAAAACAGAATGAAACACTAATGTAATGGCAAACAAAATTATGGAAACCATCACACACAATACTTGTGGAGTAGCTGGTGTGTGTGTGATCAAGAAGTATCTCACTCTGAAAAAAATTGAGCGAGTACTTTCATATTTTCTGAAAACCAGCTTTGCTAAGCTGGATGCAAATAAAATCTACAAAATTATTGCTGTTATTACATCAATTAGAGGGAAATGTTAAAAACCTGACATGTTATTATGAATTCATCGACAATGGCAGGTGCGGGCTTTCTTCATTTTGCTAGAGCGGAAGCAGTTTTGATACGTCTGAAATGTTCTCAAGGTAAAACTTTTCTACACTCATACGGCTACAATATTCGTTTTGAGATTCTCACGTTTTCTTTGCTATTCCCTAACATCAACATGACTGAACATTTCTTGTGTATATAGTGGTACTTGTACAGACATAGGTTGAAAAAGCAAGCAGTTTAGGATGAATTTGACATTAGTCAGTCACATACGAGTGTTCTCTGTGTTGGCAATGCACAATGCGACAAAAAAAGCTGGCAAATGGTTCAAAGAACAGCGGTAATGGGGGGGTTACTAAACATATAGTGTTCAGAACTGCATGCATAGTTTTTTCGGTGCTTGCTTAAACCTGATGCAATTTATGAAATCACCTTGATTCGCACTTCGACTGCACAATGAACATTTGTGAGTACAGCTAGCCATATTACATATGTGGTGGTCACTGCTGACTTTTCCTGCTGCTATCCAAAAAAACTGGCAAACACAGAAATGCGTTTTATATGGACCGCCAGTCAACAATGTAGGTTAAGTGACCTAAAGCATCAGGTTCCTATACAGCGTCAGGTTTCTATACCGAACCCCTGCTTCCTACCTAGGTTGTACGAGGTTCGAAAAATACCAAGACCTACTTTATCGCTAGATCTATTCAACGTGCAGCGTAGACACAATGGTAATGTAACTGCATGGCTTCACGTACCAGAACCTCGATATGATATCACGGGTACTGTAGTGTTAGTGTGGGACTCCAGACAAACTTTAACAATGTGGATTTCGGCAACGAGCACTTCGAACCGATGAGCACTTACACAAGTAAGCCAATTATGCCTCAACGATTTGCACAAATACTGCAACTGAAATATTGTTAGAAAAATGAAAAGATATTTAATTTGACCTAAAGCCATCGTGACCACCAGATAATACAATAAGGGAAGGCAAGAGAGGTGTCCAATGCATTGCACAAGGTATGAACAGAGCGAGAGGGGGGGGGGCAAATAAAACAAAACAACAAAATCTATAACAACAAACAGGTTTGTCGTTTCACACTGGCTTTTATCGTCACTTTCTTGTTTTTGTTTTTTTTTTTCTCGTTGTATAGCGTTTGTGTACACATGCGCTTTCCAGCGAGCAACCTCCCACCAAAGCAAACGTTAAGAGCACACTTACTTTTTGGACGTCCAGAAAGCAGTCGATGTTATCCAACTTGGAGAGCTCGTTGTGGTCCAGGAACAACTTTTCGATGCCGACGCCATCCCTTTTTTCGAGTCTTTTGAGTCCTCGATTGGACATGTCCAAAACGTGCGGATCTTCTGGAAACATATTAGCGACCTGCTCGTAAAAATATTCCTCCTACTCATCGTCAACAATATCGCGCGAGCACACTGCAAGCTACGCACGGTAATCAAGGCTAAACGCCACACCTGCGAAGTCTTTGTACTACTTAGCCAAACTGACAGGTTTTGGAGCGGTTCAGGAAACGTGCCTCGACTTGAAAGCGCAGTAGCGCCAGAAATGCGGCGCGGTACCGCTTTATTAGCTCAGCAGCACATATGGGTGCACGTGCGTAACCACATGATGCGGCAGAGCATGTGCGAGTTGCCTAGGCGAACGCGACGCTGCTGTAGAGCGACTCGAGCTCCGAGCCGCTTTTATCGCAAGATTACTCTGTTACTTAAAAGAGAAACGCGTGTACTCATTAACACAACGGCGCCGGAATGTCGTACGATTGTATCCCCGTGGGTTTAACACACAATGTGCGCCACAATGAATGAGTAAGCGTGCCGACAGAGCTGAGCTACGGCCACTTGCGGGCTCGTTGGATCGATCGATACAGCTCGCAGTGTGCTTCGATTCCGCAGAGAATCGACGGAACTCGACCTGCCAGCTCTAAAGCGACGTTTTCAGACGCCCGCCACATTCGCACGCCACTGCAAGTGATCACGGGGCTCCGACACGGGCACAAAACAGCAAAACGAAACAAAAACGCCACAGAAATCTCAAAACTCCATACCATTTTCCGCCATTTTGAAACTTCCGCCAAAAGCTGGTCCGCGCAAAAGTATTTTTTCATAAATTTTCTTTTATCAAAGTGCACAAAATAAATTTATAAGTTATTTGCTGTTATAAAATTTGAGTACAGTAATTTTTATGCGTGAAAATTGATTTAGTGTCTTGCTGCTGTCACTGCGGTACAGTTCTTTCAAGCTCTCGTCAGGCAGCGAAGATGAAGTGAGTAGTGAGAACTTTTTGTAATCCTGAAATTATTGTTAATTAATAGGCCATCGTAGTGTGAGATTGATTTTTGGCAGCTTATGAGAATGCCTTCTTGCGTTTCAGGATCGGATTGTGCTCGTTCAGCGGGTATAAAATATACCCTGGCCATGGGAAGCGGATGGTCAAGACCGATGGCAAAGTGAGTGAAGAGTGCCGGCATGCTTTGAGAAATCGCTTAGCTACGTTGTACAGGTGCTGAGAAAACAGGGTGCTTCAGTCGGAATCAACGAGTGATGCATCTCCGTTTCGTTTCGTCACATTTGTGCCGCATTTGAGGCTGTACCCGAGTCTGTGGGCGCAATCGTGATGCGCATGCGACAGCTTCGCGCAAAATGTCGAATGATCTACAGCGAGCGGGTGTTGTCATACGTAGTCCTTTTTTTTGAGACCTTTCTTGCACCCCCTCTCTCCTTTGTTCTGTGCATGTCTACTTAAATGCGGGCGTTTAGAGCCTTTTATTTGCGGTATCACTAGTTCGTATACCGCTCTTTCGAGCAGCGCGCCGTCTTGGGATTCCTCGTAAGTCTTATTCTCGCCTGTTTCAGACGTTTCACTTCCTTAACTCCAAATGCGAGGCGTCTCACATGATGAAGCGGAACCCGCGCAAGGTGACGTGGACGGTGCTGTACCGGCGCAAGCACAAGAAGGGTATCGAGGAGGAGACGACCAAGAGGCGTACCAAGCGCACGGCCAAGTTCCAGCGTGCCATCGTGGGCGCCAGCCTGAACGACATCATGGCTAGGCGGAACATGAAGCCCGAAGTACGCAAGGCGCAGCGAGAGCAGGCCATCCGGTAAGTTTCGGGCGCTGGCCTTCCAATTTATGCCTGGCAAGTGGGACCCGAGTTTTCGATCGCGTCTGTGTGGTGCGACCGATTGCGCCTGCTTATTTCCCGCCCTTGTCAATGGGCTCTACTGCGAGTTCACGCAAGCCCAAAGGACAGCCTCTTGTGTATATTTTGTGGACTGTTCCATTCATTCGTGTTTCCCAGTGAAGGTGTGAGCACTGAATGTGTACAATCAAGAACACGATCAAAGTTAACGGCAGACTCAACCTGTATTGTAGATATAGAATTGTGTAGCCAAGTCTCCGGCGTGTTGCTTTTTTCCTATCAAGCACACTTGCGCCTAGATGCCTTAAAGGGGGGGGGGGGGGGGGGGGGGGGGTCTGTGGATTTTCCAACTGAAGAGAGTTGTGCTCAAAGCATTGCCAAAGAAATGTGGATATTTTTCTTGCACGCACAGGCAGAAATCTTGATATTTTCATACTTAAGTGTGTTCAACTTGGGACAATGTCATTTCTGGCTAACCAGTCAAATATAGAAGTGGCTTTGGTACGCATACTATTTTCAATGATGGTTTAAATGCTAACCCAAAGTATTATTTGTGCTTGGGGCATGCACACTGACGTGATAACGTGAAGTAATTGCATGCACTAAACTCTGTGAACCAGATTCTAAAAAAATTCTTATCATTCTGTAAAGGCCATGTAATATAGAGTTCATGTTCCATCTGGCTGAAAAGGAGTGGGCAAATTGTGTAGTAATTTTTGTGCTGCTTTTAATTAATTCCGCTACAGTGGACCATGAAAGAACTGTCTGACTACGAAGTTCAACAAAATTTACAGTAGCATTTAAAAAACCAGGTTTTAGCTTGTGTAGATCTGAGTAGCCTTTGCACTAAATTATAGATTTGAACTCTTTAGATGCTGATGTATCACAAAAAGCTTCAAAATGTACATGTGAAAGCTGAAAAAAGGATTGTAGGACTTGCTGAAGTGCTTGTGCAAAAGCATATGATGTTCTTAAGTGCAGCCCAAAAACTGTCAATTGTGTTTTATTGAGGCTAGGAAAAAAAATGCCACTTAAGTGAACTAATTCTTAGTATTTTATGTGCAAACAAGTAATTTTATGGATTGTCACTGGATATTGGGTACTGAACTTGCGTAAATCACTAACTCTGCATATTGAGGGGGAAATATGTGTTTTCTGTTCATTACACCAGTTTTTTTTTTTTTTTTTTGCTGGGGGAAATATTGCACCTTGTATTTCATGTAATCAGCGGGATCGAATCCCTGCTGCGGCAGCTGCATTTCTGATGGAGGCGGAAATGCTGTAGGCCCTTGTGCTCAGATTTGGGTGCATGTTAAAGAACCCCAGGTGGTCAAAATTTCCGGAGCCCTCCACTATGGCGTCTCGCATAATCAGTTGGTTTTGGGACGTTAAGCCCTACATATTGATCAATTATTTTATGTAGTACAGTAGACATTCAGTAAATGAAATTCTTAATTGGAACTGCTGTACTTAAACTTTTTTTAGCGCACACAAAAGACAAAGGACAAGAAAGATATACACATGAGCACTAACTCTCAGCTATTAATTTTTGAAAGGAACTATACATATGTGAACCCAAGAACCAGTATAGAGCATGTGTGGCACGAGTCATGTGATCCACGGTCAGAAGACCTTGGGCTACCCAAAAAATGAACTCCTTATCAGTTAGAACCACTGAAGGTTGACTGGGGCACTTTTTTGCACAACTGCTGCCTAAATGGAACTAGTGCTTCTTACCAAATTGGTTTCGTACTTGTGTCCTGTGCCCTTGTTCATCTTTCAGTAAACGGAACTCCTGTAAAATGGTGCATGTTCAGGTTCCGTTTAATGAAAGTCTATTGTGCACATACTAAAAGCAGAATGAATGAGCAATCAATGCATACAAGTCTCTTTAATGAAATGTATGTTATCCGAGCTATATAAATTGCTAGATTCAAGGTTTCTGTGCAAAATTAGTTTGCAAAAGCAAGCTTCTACCTGCTAAGAGAAAGATATAACAAAAGTTATACAATATGCAGTGCCTTATATGCTCTGGTACCATTCGAAAAAGAAAAAAAAAAAGGCTTTTTGCCGTCAAAGGACCCCCTCCACCCAGTGGTGCCATCGTGACCCAGTGGCAGAGTCTTCACGCCACACTCATGAGAAGAATGGCAAAGCAGCGTGTCAAAAAAAGGCTGCGACGCCATTGGTTGGAGGGGTTTTTTTTTTACCTGAAAAGGCCATTTTTTCTATAGTTGTGCCAAAGTATAAAAGGCATTACTGGGGGAAAAAAATCCAACTTCTATTGAACAGGACTCTTACTGTAAGCATTATAGTTAAATCTGTATTGCTGCAGAGCAGTGCCTGGATGCAAAGCATAGCTTATTGTTTCATTCTTTGCAGTAAACTCGTGTTTTGTGCTTGGTTTTCTAGTCACACTTGCATTTCTTGATGCTGTCAGTTTTTGTCCTATCAAGCTGATGCTGAAACGTGAAATGAGACGGACCAAAACAGAATGCAAAGCTTACCAATGTTAGGACTGGTTTGCATCATTGTTGCTCACGGAATTGAAGTCAGGCCAAAAATCAGCTTCCTTTGACACGCTGCTGCTAATGAATAAAATGAGCCACAAGCACACCAGAATGCCCAAGTCTGTGATCTTTGAAAGCACACGCATGTGCCACAACTGGCAGTGGCCACTATTGCTACCCACTTAGACGATCGCACAACTTCAAAGCATGTTCAACAATCAAGGCCGTGCAAGGAAAAAAACATATAGAAAAAAACTATAGTTCTCCTTCATGGCAGATGGTGCAGTTTGCCCATTAGCAGCATAGGATGTCTTGAAAGTGGCAGTTGAAATCATTGATAGTAGCCATGTTCTGTGAGTGTAGTAGGGAAATTTCTATGTATGTGAAGTGTGCTTGGGCAGTAAGCATATAAACCCCCTCGCCTCCCTTTTGTTTTGTTTATTAAATCCTCTGTGGTGTATTGTTACAAACTTTTTATTGAAATGAACATTGAAAATGCCGTGTGTGAATGTCTGCTCTCACCGGTGATTGTGGTAGTCCGCCCCTCTCTCTTTTGTTTCTACTGGTTTAATGAGTTTCAGCTGAACAACGCAGTTTGTTTTGGCATGGGTCGGAATTCTGAACAATGTTGCTGAACATCTTGTAGTCAGTGCCACATTTGTGATTATGGAGATGTATTTTTTATTCATCTTTTAGCAAATACAATCCAGTAGGTGTTTCATTTCTCATGCTTCTTTCCCACTTTAGGGCAGCCAAGGAAAAGCAGAGGGCACAGAAAGCACAGAAGAAGTCTGCTGCTACACCTGTGAGTAGCGTTCTTCGTCTTAGATGGCCAGCACTAGTCAGAATAACCAGTACATTTTTTTTGTAGCATTCTGCCTTTGCATTTCGTTAAAGAAGGTTATGCACAAGCATGCCCACGTAGTGGTGAAAGGAACTAGAGAGAGAGAACACACGATATGGAAACATGCAGTATACATTCTAGACTATTGGTTTTGCTGCAGGTAGATTACGACCTCTTTTAGAACTATATGGAGGTGCATGTTTTGCAGCTGTTTGAAACTCTCCAAAGTACTTGCTTTCTTTCATTGCCTCAGCAATATTTATGAAAGCTGTGATAGCCGTCTCGGCATATACAGTAATCAGCATCATGCTTTCTTTGGTAGCTTTACTAGACTTCTAAATAGGAGCTTGCGCTGCAACCGCATTTGTAAGTGGGAATACCAGGTGCCATGACTTGTTGGAAATGCAAAAAAAAAAAAAAAAGGCTGCTAGTTTTATGTGCCTCGGTTTTCCAGTTTCCTGGCAGTTGCAGAAACGCGTAAGCTAGCAGTAAGTGGCATGGTGCACTTAGGTTTTATTTGACAGAGAAGGCAGCCTTTTGTAACCATCACTTGTGGTCACTCAAGCTTATTTTTGCATCAGTTATAGCAGTGACTTTCTCTGTGGTTATTGTTTAGTTGTTTTGGAATGTTTACCTGCTGGGTAGTTAGCATAAATGGTTTCGTGCTGGTAAGCTTGAGGATGTAGCCACGACAGCCACATGTTAAAGGGGACGAAATGCAAGGCGTGTGCTTGAATTTGGGTGCTCATTATAGAACTTTAAATGGTAAAAAGTAATTTAGTGTCTTTTGCTAAGAGGTGATTTGTTATCCTGATATGGTTGCAGCATATAAAACTAGGGAAATTACAATTTTTATAATGTCGCACTTGCACAGTGGGAAAAGGCAGATTATGTAGATAAAGAATTGAAGTCAGCCCAGTGTTCTAAATTTCACTGTTAATTTAACTTTTCTACAGTATTGCACAAATCCTTAAGGCCATGTGAAGCTGATATCAAGCTTCATAAAAATCTAACATTTATGCTTCTAACTAGAGTCCTGGATTATTAGGAAGCTAATATTAATGGATTCTAATAATAAATGTTCACCCTCATTATACATTGTACAGCAAACTCTTGCTATTCCATTTAGAACTAGGATTCTCGGATGGCTTGTATACGCCTGTATGGAGGCGAACTGTTCATTGTTTCAGTCGTGCTGTCACAATATGATTTACATTTGGCAAGCATTCCTAAGTTTTGCAGTGGTGTCAATTAATGCACTGAGAGCACTATCTCCCACTCGGGTAACTCATATTAAATCAAATATGTTGGTTCCACCAAGGTCAAATTGATAAAGGACTGTGTATTTTGAACAAATGGCATTGTGATTCAATAATACTAAGTTGATCGGTGTGTGCCCCTTTCTGTTGCAGCTCCAGAAGGCCGCGCAGAAGCAGAAGGCTGCCAAGCCTGTCCAGATGAAGGCACCCAGAGTTGGAGGCAAGCGTTGAGAAGGGATTGGCATGTAATAAAAAAGTGTCTATAGAAATTGTTGCATTGGTGTCGTTTTTGTCCCCATCACACTAATTGAATGATTACTGCATTAGCACTACTGCATTTTCTCGCGTACAACCCACACCAAAAATGGGAAAAAGTGCTCGAAAAGTGAGGATGCGGGGTATATGAAGGGGAGGGTTATATGCGAGAATATGCGGTATTTGCTGCAGCCAAAACACCTCATATCTTTGCAGCTCTAAAAGCTTATGCCAGATGACACCAATCCCTGACCCAGCTTCGAGTCCTGCCCATGGTTTTCTTTAATGCCAGTGGGACAAGGACTAGGAACATGCATCGATATATAAAGGCCGAGACACATTTGTTTTACCAGCATTTTGTACGCTGTCGACGCTACAGGTGACCGTAACGTCCACTTTAGGATGTTCCAGACATCCGCAGTGTCGAAAACGGTTCGATGGATGGAGAACCAATTGGTGCGTGTCTAGTAGTGACTTCTGCTACATAACAGCATAGTTGCTGCTGCCAATATGTCTCCTGCCTGCTTTGGATTTATTAAGTCGTCGCCTGGAGGTCCAACTAATGCTTGTATTGACATGGTGCTTGTTCCTCAGAAGCTTCGACAGCAAGCGCACGGGATGTCTCGGAACTGTTTCTAAGAGCCATAAGTTCATAAGAAGGCTTAGCAAAAAGGAGTGTGTTAGCTGAATACGTGGCCTCTAAGATGCGGGACTTCAAGCTCAGAGGTTCTTCTTAACCTTAATCGCCGGCGCTATTAGTAAAGCTAAAAAAAATTGACTTTTCGGCAGCACTAAGACTTTTCTGCTCTACAGAACTGCAAATAAGACAAAATTTATAATCTGGGTTATTTCTTGTGACCAAAGGGAATGAACCGCACACTGTTGCTTAGCAAGGTGTGGTATCATTCCCTTTAGCCACAATGTGTGACGTCGGGCTGGCACTGGCCTCGGCACTATTCATGTCGTTGGCTACCCTCTGTGGCAGTGTTTATGTGACGACACTGAGAAATGCAACGGCAGAAAACTCCACATGTCGTTCAGCCTTGATTCAATGTTCTACACAGCTGTCTGCATGGTAGCACTAACTAGTGGAGCATTCAACCTTCATGTCAAGCCTTCATCTTTTCACCATACTTGAAGACATCCACTGAGACTATTTATTGGCTTTTAAGGTATTCCTAACAAGTGTGTGCTTAATGACGCACTGCTCTTTGCATGAACTGTTTAGGGCTGCTTCTTAAGTTTAGAGAGTTCAGCCAGCTTCGTATCCCTCCACTGGCGCCTCTTCTGGAGATCCTTGAGGGGCACTTTCTGAAGCAGCTCTGCGTTCACTTTGGTGAGGGTTGGACCATCGTAGGTGGGCACTGGACCAAAGGTCTTGGAAACTTTTACTATGCCCTTGGCATACTTGTCGGCATACTCCAACATCCCTGGAATAAAATTGGTAGCACATCAACTCTATGTCAAGGAAGCACAAAAAAGCTCACAAGTGAAGGCTGCATTGCTGCCTAAATTAATGTGGGTGGAACAGCAGACAATCTATTCGGCATTTCTTTGCGATATCCAAATTGCCTCGACAACAGCGGCTGAACGTTTTTGACAAAAGCACTTAATCCTCAGCATCAGCTGTCCCCTTCAGCTGAACTAAGGAATTGAAAGCACTGATCAAGCAATCAAGGTCGTCTGTCAATGGCAACCTAGTGTGAAATTTCACTTCAACTTGCCTAATTTGCAATCAATGTTCTGCAAATATCCTGCGAGTATTTGCCCATACATTATGATGCAAGTTGTATTTTGCAAAATGGACTAAAAGACAGCTGCCTGACAACTGGCTTGTCGAGCAGCTCATTACAGGAACGGTTGCACTAAGCCACTGCTGCTGCAAGAGGTGGTGGCTGTAGTGTGCAACTTTTTTCTTTTACCGTCTGTTATCTTTCCATAAGCGAAACAAGCTCAATCTTATGCTGATGATGAGAGGTTTAAAGGGACACTGAAGCGAAACTGACTTGGTCTAGATTGACAAACTGCACTCTGAGAACTTAATGCCATATGCGTATTAGCGGAGGAAATTGAGGATGAACTTTCATTTTAAAATTTTGCCCCTAAATGCCCATGCGTAATGTCGAAAACTTCAAAAACACATTTGTCGTGTTTTCTCAACTTAAGCTCGAAATTTTCTGAAACTTTGTATGCTACTATGTCTGTAGCACTTACAGACGACTAAGTGCTTATTTTTTAAGATTAGAAGCTACACAGAACTCAGTAGACACCTTCAAAATTTATGACGTCACGGTGTTTGGTGTGGGAATGTTGCGGTGACATTTACCCTATTTTCTTTACACGTGTAAGCCCGCTTACGAAGCATCGTGTCACGGTGAGAGGGGTTTCTCGAGAATGTAGAATTATTATGCGTTACTAATTTACAAAAAATCGTTATGCTCTTTAATGTCCCTTTAGACTATCTATGATAAAAGTAGCAGGGGGGTGTTTTTCACCCCCGCCATTGAACCAAAGTACTGCAGAAACTGCAATATTCACAGGGACAAAAGTATCACAAGGGCCTAAGTGCATTTATTGGAAGACTTCGGTGCTCATCTATGCGGTACAGCCCACCTACCCTCGGCATTTAGATGTGCAGTCTCCAGGGGTCCAAGGAACGCGTAACGCATGCCAAGTCCTTCAGACATCACAGTGTCCATGTCGGCAGTGTCAACCACACCATCCTGCATTGGAACCAAGCAAATTTGTAGAAAAGGTGTGTTCTGTTTACTTCTAGCAGGATGTATAAGTGCAGAACAAATCTAGGGGTTATTTGCAAAATCTACCGCACTTTTTCGTATTAGCAAAACAGTTTCATCATTTTCAATCGGCTGGCCATCCCTTTAATGCCTTTGAACATAGGAATGTATGCCCTCTTAAAATTTCTCACTATTCGCAAAAAAGAAAAAGGTACTAGTCTGCAGTGAAGCATAAATCATGATTATTGTGTGGCAAAAACAGCATAAATTTGTGCTAAAGCTAGTTGCATGTTCTTCACGTATGGAACCATGGTTGAAATGCCTATCATATCTATGCTCAATCCTGTTGTCTGGAGGATGTGTAATAAATCAATATTTCTTTATAGTCTGTAGACTCTACTGATGTTGGTTGCTCTTTCCTAACTTCCGATTATCCAGAGCTATGTGTATACTTCAATCACTCTGCTCAGGTCTTGTAGCCATAGTAATAAAGTACTGTTAGTGTAACAATTATTGGTGGCACTACTGAATGCGATACCAGTATTTATTGTGCCAGTCTATAGTTTGCTAACTAGACTCGATAGCAAAATTTGACACTTTCATTAACCATAGATTGGCAAGCTTCAGGTTGCATCACAGGCTGTTGTGGCTTCAGCATGTCGACTCTTTGCAGACATGCAAAGGCTGAATGTCCAGAATGTACCCTGCACTATATAGTGATGGTAGTGATGTACTTCATTTTTGGCTGCTTACAAATGCTGCCCTTCATAAGTGGACAGGCCAAGCGAGCTGCATCCATTTGAAATGCAAGTTTTTTTTTTTCTTTTTCCTCTTATAACTATTTCACTACCTTGTGGACTTCTACAGTACTTGTCAACACACAGAGACGCTGCTGGGATGCCGATGAGTGCAGACGCGTGCACATCGAGCTTTGTATGTTCTTGTCTTTTCTGTATGGTTCAACCCTTGAATCGTCCAGAAATTGCCACAGGCGTGTAGGGGAGGTGCTCTGGTATCGGTGGATTCCAGTTTCACTGAAATCTGACCATTTTTCTTGTTTTTACGGCCACTTCTTCGTTCGCCCATGTGGAGCCTTCGCTACCTCTAGCGTCCAGTAGAGGAGCGGCGGCGACGACGCCGGGAGACGCTCGCCCGAAGACGACAACCACGGCGTTGCCGCGGTTGCTGACGGCTATGGACTCGACTGGGGAGTCGCAAACAGCGTCCGTACGACAATCCGAACCAGGTTTGGGTGAAGAAGTCATGGACTTTGCCGCCCAAAACCGGGATGAAGCAGCACTGCCAGGGAACTGCAACGCGGCGTCCACGCACGCCGCCGCAGATTTTTCCGCCCCAACGAAGACCGACCGCACAGAGGAGGGATGGCAAATATCCCAATCGCTCAGAGCGAAGAAGAAACAGGCGAAGGAGCGGAAATTTCAACAAGGAGGGGACTTCTCCGCAGGCAGCAGACCTACGACGGACAACCAGCCAAAGCGCCGGGGTCGACCTACAAGACGGAGGCCCCCAGCACTACCCAAGGACGATCTGAAAGTAGTCTTCCGACCTCACCAGGGACTGCCTCTGAAGAATGTGACCACCCAAGCGATCTCCGACGCTATAGTGGAGGCTTGCCAAGGAAAAGTCAGGTGGGATCAGTTTATTCTCCGCATCCGACCGGGGTCCAACATTGCGCTAGCGTCGACTCCAGACACGACCGTCGCGATGGCGATGAGAGGCGTCACGTCTTTGAATATCAACGGAAGACCACACCCGGTCAACGTCTACGTTACGGCAGGTGAAGGAACCAAAAAAGGTGTTATTCACGGTATAGAGCCGCACACCCCGTCTGAGACCATCAAAGCGAGCATCCGTTTTCGCACCCAGAGCGTGACGCTGGTCGACGCTCGGATGTTGGGAGACTCTCAGAGTGCCGTCTTGACTTTCTTCGGGGACATTCTACCAAGATATGTTTACTACAGAGGAGGTGAGAAGGAGTGTATTCCTTTTCGTAACACCGTCCAATTCTGCCGAGCGTGTGGGGCGGTTGGCCACCGCACCGACGTGTGTCGGCAGCCAGACTCACCCGTGTGCCATACCTGTGGAATGCGCAACCCCGAAGTAAACCATAATTGCACTCCGACATGCGCAATTTGCACGGGAAACCATATCACTGGAGACCGCAGTTGTCTAAAACGCCTCAAGCCTATTCGCAAGCAAGCAGCGAAACCACCCAAAAAACCACACAAGCCAGCCCCTCGCTGGTTTCAGTCGGAGGAAGAGGAATCAGAATGGGAGTACGGACGAGGCGGGACCCGAAAGAGCCGTTCCAGAACCCGCACGCCGTCGAAAAACCGTGCCGTGGAGACAGGACAACCAGGACAGCGGCATCCAAAGTCGACTTCGACGCGGAGAGCAATCTCCCAGGACAATCCGAACGCGCAAGCCCTTCCGAGAAGCAAGCCACCGGGGGCGTGACCTGCACATAGCAACCCACAGGCGGACGCGGTAAGCTATGCGCAAGCCGTATCTCCCACTACCAAACATAAACCCGTTACACCAACGATCACAGAACACCCAGAATACAAGCGGGTAGTAGCTGAAAACAGACAACTTAGAACAGAACTACAGGAGGTTAAGTCTCGAATGGCGCGCCTGTAGTCACTACTAAACCAGTCGAGCAACACACAAAGCCCGGCGAGCACACCTGTTGTCTCGCAGCCCGTTGCGCAGCCCGTGGAAACGCAACCACCACAAACACCGCCGATAGCGTTCCTAGTTCAACAAATTCAACTTGTTTTTGCCAAACTAGGCCAGATGGAACGCACCATAAGCGACTTGAGTCAGGCGCAGAATCCTCGCAAGAGATCTTGTCAGAGCCCGGGTGCCCCCACCAGACAACCTAAAGAAAGTGGAATAGCAGATTCCGAGAATACCAATCATGGCTAGACACCGTAACAATAAAAAGACCGAGCAAACGGAAATATGGCAGTGGAACTGTTGCTCATTGAGAACAAAACTTGAAAATTTCAAACAATTTATTGGAGCATCTCCAATCCCTCCTGATGTAATCTGCCTTCAGGAAGTAAGCAAATTTCAGATAAATCTGAGAGGGTACATAAGACATGTTAACCCAAAGTACCCACAAGTGGCGACATTTACCAAAAAAGATATCGCATTGAGTGTCAGCTACGTGAGCAATGAGGCAGTGCAACACCAGATAATAACAGTGTGGCCCAAAAAACGTGGAGGACCAAAAACAGTGGGGGTCAATATATATAGCCCACCTAAGGAGAGACGAGCCGACTTTGAGAACATTATAGCACTTGCGATGGGTTTATTGAAAGAGAAAGACAGGTTAGTTATCATGGGGGATTTTAATGCGCCACACAGAAATTGGGGATATAAGCAGGACAGCCCTAAGGGCAAACTCCTTGTAGACCTTGTTGAACGGTATGATCTCTGCCAACTTACACAACCAGACCTACCGACACGGGTCGGGAATATCTTAACAAAAGACACGTCACCGGACTTAACGTTTACAAATTCTGAAGGAAACGTCTCATGGGCGCACCTCAGAGAAAACTTGGGAAGCGACCACTACATTCTCGGAATAACTATTAATGCCGCCACGACAAGAAGAATGGGGAAAGCGACAATATCTGATTGGAACAAATTTAGGGAGAACGTAGGAGACCAAGGGGAAATAATAGATCTAGGTAACTGGGTGAAACAGATAAAGGAGGCACACAGGAAAGTGACAAAGGAAATAGCAACAAGCGTGGAAATCCCAGCAGTCGACAAGCACCTGCTACATTTGTGGGACGCGCGGAGAAGCCTCACAAAGCGATGGCGGAAGCAAAAGCTTAATCGCAAATTGAAGATAAGGATAGCTCAGTTGTCACAGGAAGCCAATGACTACGCACGTCAACTAAATAACAGTAACTGGAGGCAATTTAGTAACTCACTTAGAGGGACGTTAGGAACCAAAAAGACCTGGCACATCCTGAGGAGTATGATCGATCCAGGGGCAACAAAAACAATGACGAACAGGGCTTTAAGAATTCTGGAGAATGAATTTAAAGGTAACGATGACGCACTTATCTACGAAGTCAAGAAATTATATGTCGGACAAGACGCATGTGAAGTGGTACATGGCAAATATGCAGGAAAAGAACAACCAGAGTTAGACGCTCCCATAACATTTGAAGAGGTTTATGCGGCGGCCCAGTCTTTCAAAAAGAATACCGCCCCAGGACGAGACAAAATAACAAACTCTATGCTTGGAAATTTGAGTGATGCGGCCCTTCGACGAATCACGGATTTCTTTAATGAAAAGGTATGGGTAGATGGAGGAAACCTTCCAGTAGAATGGAAGGACTCAAACATCATGTTAATACCAAAACCAGGGAAACCAAGAGATATTAAGAACCTCCGACCAATCTCCCTTACCTCATGCTTGGGTAAGCTTTTTGAAAAAACAATATTGACTAGATTGACAGACTATGTAGAGAGAGAGGGTCTGCTACCGGTGAATATGTTCGGTTTCCGACCACATGTATCGGCCCAGGATGTTTTCCTGCTGTTGCAAAATGACGTCATGAACCCAAACAGAGGTTCAAGCGACGAATTCGTACTAGCACTAGATATCAAGAAAGCATTCGATACAATATCACACAAGGTGATAATGGAAGGCCTCGAATCGATTAACTGCGGCCAACGAATATATGAGTATGTCCGGTCATTTCTGACAAGCAGGAAAGCTACCATTTCTTTAGGCTCGGTTACATCTGAAACCTTCGACTACCCAAATAGAGGCACCCCCCAGGGAGCCATGCTATCCCCGATACTATTTAATATCGGCCTGAGAAAGCTCGCATGTGAGCTGGAAAATATAAAAGGTCTAGGAGCAGCTCTTTACGCAGACGATGTCACCTTATGGACAAAGGGTGGCTCTTACGCGGACAAAGAAAACGCCCTCCAGGAGGCAGTAGATAAAATACAAGCTTTCGTGACAGCTGCAGGAATGCAATGCTCGCCGGAAAAAACTGAAATGGTTAGAATTAGGGCAAGATACGCAAAGAAAAAGGACTTAATACCGGTAGCAGTACTGCTGGATGGGAGACAAATCAGGGAGGCAGATGTAATACGCGTGCTTGGCATGTGGATACAAGGAAATTCGGGAACGTCACACACACTACAAAGGCTACGGGGAACCACGGCGAATGTGGCCCGGATGGTCAGGCGGATAGCAAATAGCGAAATGGGACTAGAGGAGAAAGAAACCATTGCACTCGTTCATGCATTTGTGATCAGCCGAGTTACGTACGCGCTACCGTACCAGACAATGACAAACCAGGAGACAAAGCAAATAAACACAAACAATAATAAGGAAAGCATTCAAAGCAGCATTGGGGATTCCGGAAAATGCCAAAACCGAGAGGGTAGAGAAATTGGGCATATACAATACCTTTGAGGAGTATGCAAATGCGGTGCTTTTATCTCAAAAGGAAAGGCTCAATTCAAGCTATCATGGGAGAAGAATTCTGGAAAAGATGGGATATACATTGCGACCGTTATATTGTGACGAGGAAACGGTGCTAATAGATGCGGAAAAACGCACACATTTAACTGTAGCGCCTATTCCCAGAAATATGCATCCGACGTATCACGCAGGAAGGAGGAAAGCGAGAGCAGACTCCTTACGCAAAGCATTTCAGAATAGCTCAGAAGCCGTCTTTACAGACGTAAGTAAAGCGAGCAGAGGGTCACATGTAGTGGCAATTGTAGCACAAAATCACACCACAATGGCGTCGGTTAAAACTTGTTTCACACGAGTGGCAGAGGCGGCAGCAATAGCCATAGCCATATCCAACGCAGCAATCAGGGGAGAATCAGTGGTTGTGCTCTCCGATTCACAGGCGGCATGCAGAATGTTTCTCCGAGGAACGCTACCTAAAATAGCGTATAAATTTTTAAATAAACCCATAACAGGAGACCATCACATTATATGGTGTCCTGCTCACGAAGGTTTGGAGGGGAACGTCGTGGCAGACCGTATAGCTCGAGGCATCACCAACCGAGCGACGGCAGGCCACGACGTTGAACCTCTTTCCAATTCGCGTGACATCCTCCTCCAACAAAGGAAGCAACGAAAGGAATATGGGCTTCCACATAAGGACTTGGATAGCCAGCAAAGCAGGGATTGGAGACGAATACAAACCAATAGCTTTCCCAATTTGTACCATCTAAGTAGAATATATCCCGCAAGATATAAAGACACCTGTCCGTGGTGTTCACAAGTACCAACACTCAGCCACATAACATGGGAGTGCACCCAGAGGCCCACACACATCGACAGCCCACACATCACGAAGCAACCACACGTGTTTCACAGGCAGTGGGAGACATGGCTTGCGGACGAGGACAAGCAGAGCCAAATAGCTTTGCTTGACCAGGTCCAGCGAGCCGCTCGTGCCAGCGGAGCCCTGGACTGAGGGCCCGACCAAACTGCCTGCATTTTAATTTTTTTTTTTTTCTCTCTGAATAAAGTTTCTTCCTCCTCCTTGTCAACACACACTTAGTGGCACTGGCTTTCAAACCAAAGCCTCACATTTGAAAATTTTCTCTATTATTTTTCACAAATGATAGATGGCTGGCTGACAGTTTTACAGAACTTATTCACGTCTGGAAAGGCTATGAGATCTCAACTTGCCTGTATGAGTCTCCAGCATTCATTTAGAATCGCATACTGAATCCGATTCAGCACAAATCCTTCCACTTCTTTCCTTAGCAGTACTGGTTTCTGGCCAATCTCCTTCATGAGAGCTCGTGTCCTGATGGCAACATCGGGACTGGTCCAAGGAGCAGGCACTATTTCGACCAGTGGGACATAATAAGGTGGATTCACCTGAAATGACGCAACATCTAGGCTTTATCAGAGGCAAAGATCCTAGCCCCTGTTATGTATTTGAACTGAATACCTTCTATATTATAGTAAGTCCATTTTTCGTGCTCATTACCTGACAACATTGTCAGGCTAGTTTGGCTCTATGTATATCATAACCAAACTGTGGAGAGAAATAAAATACTGGAGAAAAGAAAATGCTGTATGCTCTGCAATCAATTTTGTGTAATTGGATGGCTAGGCCCACCATGTCCTTGCCACTGTTACATATTTGAACTGAATACCTATTTTTGTTTCAATGAGATGAAGTTCAGCTTCATCACGGATTTGTTAATGTAAAGCATTTGCGTGCCCTGTCACAATGCTGAAAGCTCGAAATAGAGCATCCAGCAATCTGATGGCGCTGGCAAGTGCAAAATTTCCATAGCTACAAGCTTCACACTATCATGTGCCTGTTTTTGCTGGCTTTGCCTTTTTTCCCGCCTGCTATTGTGGTTGAGTATAGAGATATATCAAATGTGGGCTGGGCATACCGGATGGCCCACGATGGCCTGGCTTCTGTGCTTCATCTCCTTAGTGAATGCTGAAGGTGGAAAACAGCTTGTTGAGCTGCAGAGCACCGTGTGATCGTCCACAAGTTTGTCCATTTCCAGAAAAACCTTTTGTTTGAGCTCTACATTTTCAAAAACGCATTCCTGCAATGAGAAAAAGAGTTCCTAGGGTCTTCAAATGCCTCTCTGTGCGAGTATCCCACCGTCATAGTTTAGTTTATTGAGCGTATCTCAAAGGGTAAGTGCTTAAATTAAGCTTGTGTTTTACCTATATTTCACAAATGACTGACTTGGAATAGGTCACGCCAAGTTTTGCATTTCACGCCATTGTGCTTGCATCGTGCACTAACCTTTTAGGTATACAGTATTTTAATACTGATGGAAAGCAAAGCTTGTATACACACCCCATTATAAAACTGCCTATATTCGAAAAATAATGTATACACCCAAGAGGTTAGCCCATGACACATGCACTGTGGCGACAAGCATTAACCTTAACGAAACCTGTTCTAAAGCTGCCTCGTGCTACAGTGACCATTACTGCGGTACAAACATCAATGTGTGTGGTTACTATGGATTGGCACAGTGACAAGCCTTGTAAAAATTATGTCACTGTTAAATATGAGAATGCACACCAAGTTCAAGATGTGACAACAAGCTGGTGAAGTCCCTTGCTTAAGCTCCATTTTCTTTTCCATTATCATCATCAACCTCTTTCTACAACATTTACTCCGCCGCCTGCGCAAGTTTCCTGACCAACATAAACTCTGTCCTTGTGCCCAGCTTTCGTAGATGTTCTTTGCTACTCTATGCCATAACCCACAAGAATGTTGCTAAGCCTGTGCATGCTAGGAAGACGCAGCACGCGTTGGACGTCAGCTTGCCTGCACGTGGATGGCGCCTTTGAGGCACTCGGCCATTGTAGAACACTTTCTGATAAGCTGGTGTTGTTGCCTTGAGGTGAGGTTCCCGCGCAGAAGGCCCTTCTTTTCGAGGTTACCAAGCTGATCCTCGATGTCGCTGAGTGCCTCGTCTACTTTCTTGTCGTCTACATCAAAAAGGTCCACCGTGTAGCCGGCGCCGGCAAACAGCATAGCCCAGCTTCGGCCGATCAGGCCGCTGGAAGCAACAGGTAAGGTTAGTTTCACTTACGCACAACCCAGGAACGTAGCATCTTGTTTTCTGCTGAAATACGGCGGAATCTTGAGGCCAAGAGGTAAAGCTTTGCGTGTTTTCAACTATAAAGATGCATGCGTGAGTCAGCTTTAGGTGTCCCGTGCAGCAGCACGGCAGCAGGTGGTTGTTACGCGTGAAGTGTGACGTGTAAATGATGCGTCATAATACGCAATGCAAGAAAGAATGAGACTTGATTCGGGCTACGGCTAAACCAGTGCCTGGAACAACCAAGCAACGGCGCAAATGACATTTTTTTACACCGGTCGAAACCGCCCCACGCAGGAATGAACAACCACTCAATACCAAGCGGTAAGCGTTCTATGGTACTTGCCTGCCGATAATTCCCACTTTGCCCTTGCTCATTTCGTGGCCGCTGTAACTTGTTTCGTGTGATACTGCAGTACGGTTTTGCGCCTACTCTTTTGAGACCGATTCTGTGGTGGTGCTCTCTCGACGCTGACGACCGCCGCTTGGCACGCATTCAACGAGAAAACTTTCCTGGCAAGTGCTCCCCTCCTTTCTGCCGACAGCGGCTTGTTTGCCCCCCTCGACGCACGATAAGAAATGATCGGCAATACAGAGACGGAGTCGTGTCGCTCTCGGCATCTACTTTTTCTTTCGTGGTGCGTGCGTAAATACACGCTGCACGCACGCGCGCCGATACGCCTGCAGGGGCATTTTATTTTTGTTTCACTGAGGGGCCAGTACGCTGTTGAGCCGGCTCACTGGTAGGTGTTCTGTGGCCGGCTGCGCTTGGAGTTTACACGTGCTTTCGTCTTCGTCGCATCTGTTGTATCCGTGCCGTACGTTTTGAACTAACCCGTGCGCGCTTCGCGTTGTTTCATTACGGCGCGTCTAGCTTGGAAATACGAGTGCGCCACTCTAACAAGGACGAAAATACAATTAGTGCATTGGATTCAGTGTTTTAGCTTCAGTGCGCGTTGCGTCTAACAAAGAAACGAGCCTTTCCGTTCCCCTTCTTACGCGCGCCATAGGCAATCTGAGCGCTGTCTCGGAACGTAGTTTTTTTTTTGTTTGTTTGTTCTGCATTCCAATACGATAGCTCTACGACCCCGTTCGTGTCTTCGTAAAAAGTGGTAAAGCATATTGCCAGGCCGACACTCAGGGTTCTCTGTCTCTCTCCTTTTTTTTTTTTCTTTTGATAGACTGAAGTGTAGGGATCTGTGCGAATATTCTTGGTTTAGAATGTAGCTTACCTCTAGTCGTGTAACAAAGCTTTGCAGAGGGCTGGGGTGTGGAAACCTGTGTTACTAAAAGTGTGTAATTACAAAAAATAATTACCTAGATCTATTCTAATTGAATTTGCCGCTAAACTAAATACTCTACTTTGATACATACCACATGAAGTACTGGCAATGTATTCATGCCACTTTCCAAAAACTTCTGAGATCAAACCAAGTGTCTTCGTAAAAAGTGGTAAAGCATATTGCCAGGCCGACACTCAGGGTTCTCCGTCTCTCTCCTTTTTTTTTTTTTTTCTTTTGATAGACTGAAGTGTAGGGATCTGTGCGAATATTCTTGGTTTAGAATGTAGCTTACCTCTAGTCGTGTAACAAAGCTTTGCAGAGGGCTGGGGTGTGGAAACCTGTGTTACTAAAAGTGTGTAATTACAAAAAATAATTACCTAGATCTATTCTAATTGAATTTGCCGCTAAACTAAATACTCTACTTTGATACATACCACATGAAGTACTGGCAATGTATTCATGCCACTTTCCAAAAACTTCTGAGATCAAACCAAGAGTAATATGTGTTATTTGCCTGATGACAGTAATATAAAATGTTTGAGTTAAGGCTGACAAATTGCTCTTTTCTGGAGCTATTTTCCTCTTTGTCGTGGGGAAAAAAATTAACTACTTGCAAGTGATGATACATTGAATTTCATGCATTTAAGTGGACATTGTGGAGGGCGTTTTCATCTTCGCACTGTTTTGGCACATCCAAGCGTGCCGAGACACTTTCGAGAGTGCAGTCTGTGCCTTAGCTGTACCCAGTCAGATACTGCTAAAATCCGTAATGCAAAGGCAGTTGCAGAAACTTAATGGTGGCATTACAATTGGCCTAATGCGTCTCTCATAATTATATGGTGGTTTTGAGATGTTAAACTTCACGAATCAATCAAATACCATTGGCCTAATGGTAAGTGTGGTTGTTTTGCCGACATTAGAAGTGCAACTTACTATTACATATTGCTTGGAAATACTATGAGCGCATGATTAACAAGCTCTACGAAAAGACAAAGTGTGTCATCATGCACATGTCCATGCATGCCTTATCGTAGCCCTGAACCACCAACTAACCAGATTGGCCATTCTGTAACATTACTTCAAAGTCTTGCAGGACATTTGTTCAAGAAGAGAGGTTGTTTTACTTAGTATAAACGATTGTATGCTATAACGCTATTGAATGACTATGTGAACGACCTTCCATCGGTTATATTGACCAACATTTATCTCTCTACCAATAACGGCGTTACTTTTTTAAAAGTAACTATTGTCTTTGCTCATACCTGGGAGTTCACGTTTCAGTTAATTTACCTTTGTTACTACACATCAAATGCATCAACATTCCTAACAGCATGCTTGGCTAATTGTTCAGTTGACTTTGTATTGCTTCATGAAGCAGAAATCCTGGGTTTATCAGACACTGGACAACCCTTATACTAGTGCATTCTTCAGCCATAAGAGACCAGAGCTATCGCAAACCAGCAACTTCCCATCAACTCATCCAGAATTACAACACAGCCAAAAGCCTCTCAACTATGAAAGCTTTCTGTGTACTTCCTTCTTTACTTATTGCAAAAAACTTTGTCATGCAAGAATTTTGCAATTTCTGTTGCCATTGTTTTACACACAACCAACTACTCCTTTGTTCACAGTGCATATATCACTGCATTATTAATAATAATAAATTAGGTGTTTTATTAAGCTTCAACAAAACATTTTTGAACGTCCTAGTTATATTTGGTGAGCTTTTCTAATTAGTGATACTTCACCTTCTGTTTTTTGTTTTTTCAATGTACCCGGGTTTTCTAATTTCAAGAATAAAGCCGGTTGTAAATCGATTCTGTAAGCTTTTTTTTTTTTTTTTCGTCCATCTTGATTCTCTGCTGTTCTAAATGCATGCCTGACTAGTCTAGTCATTTGCAAGTCTTGATTGATTGATTGATATGTGGTGTTAAATGTCCCAAAACCACCAGATGATTAAGAGAGACGCCATAGTGGAGGGCTCCAGAAATTTCGATCACCTGGGGTCCTTTAACATGCACCCAAATCTGAGCACACGGGCCTGCAACATTTCCGCCTCCATCGGAAACGCAGCCGCCGCAGCCGGGATTCGATCCCGCGACCTGCGGGTCAGCAGCCGAGTACCTTAGCCACTAGACCACCGCGGCAGGGCAAAGGTGATATGAACACTATAGGTACACACGCATATTACCACCCAAATCTGAGCACATGGATCTACAACATTTCTGCCTCCATGACATTTGCAAGTCGATGAGCGGGATTTGTTTCTGGCTAGCACGGTGAAGAAATCCAACTTCTCTCTGCAGAAAGTGTAATACTGCAACATCCAACATTTTCAATACATTTATTAGATTTCAAACATCCATCATTCAACATGTGCGTAGAAGCAACTATAAAACAAGCACATTAAAAACTAGTAGAAAATTCATGTGCTGTAAACACACTGGGTGTTTTTTAGTGTATATGTATGTTCCAACTAAAAATTCTCATCCTGCTTGAAGCGGATGCACATTTATAAATCAAGCAAATTGAAGCAATAAATACAAGCTCAATAACTGAGCATAACATTTCACCGAGGGTAAATAACGGGGACAACCCAACGATTGCGAAGACTGCAAAAATGTGCATCACGATCGCACGGCTCGTGGGGAGCAGTTGCCAGGCGATGCAGAGCCGTAACGTGATCGTCGCCTTAGAAGACGTTTAGCTGCAACGAGAAAAAATAAAAACATTTAAACAAAAATGATGATGAATACCAAAAAAATGATGAATACCAAAATTACATTAATGAATAATTGGTTTGGGTGAAATTTTTCGCGAACAAATTGTACCTGCTAAATAGTTTTTAGCGACTCCTTAAGGCTGAGCCATCATCTTAGTTATTTGGATGCATACATTGTATACAATTAAACCAGGGAAGCCAGTCAATCTGAAAATACTAGCTAGCATAGCATCTACACAGTTTTTTGTTACATGTGCTTCTGCTTTAGTTTAAGTGACTGCTGTGCTGCCAGAAAATAGTGAAAGTAATGGCAATGGGTCTGTATCTTCCCAGCATTTGGAGCATTCAAGCACCAATAAATGCCTAAATTACACAACCGTCTAAGCTTCACATTAAGTGACTGACATTGTATATATGCTGTTACTTTCACAGCTCTTTGTACATGTGTTTCAGTCACATTTTCACACAGTTAACCCTTCCCTTACCATGAAATTGGGATATTGTATTAAACTTACTAGAATTTACTTATGCTCACTCTGTACAGATTTTTTTATTCTGAATAAAATGGCACCATTCTTTGAATGCAACGGGGTTCCTTTATTTCACTAATTTTATATATATAAAAAAATGTAACTAAAAGACTGCTTCACTGCATGGCAATACAATGAAAGCAAAGACACAAATGGCACAACATGGACAATTCTGGCTATCTAGCATCCAAAAACAACCATGATGAATATCATTGTTATTGGCTCCACGAGAAGCCAATAACAATATTTATTGACAAGTACCAATGACGAGTACAATTCTTATTGGTCATTTTAGCACGACATCTCGCGATGACTTCACGGGGGGGGGGGGGGGGGCGGTTAGAAAGAACCTCCAATATTAGTTTTGCCATTGGCCTTCAACAACAAATGCCAACATTAATGCCTGTCTTGTCCACTAATTAGCACTATGATTAGAGCATTGCTATACTACAATAATGAAACTACTTTTAAAAAGTATTTGTGTCAGAAAATTATAACTTTTGCAGTGCAGGTAAAACCAGAACACCTATCGTGCATTGATTACAACCACTGGATTGCAACTGAAACTGTACCATTAATTCATGTACTTTATGAAAATTTGATTTCTTTGTGTTATACAGGTGTCCCATAAACAGGCTCCATTCACATGACTGAAATCTTCTAAGCCGTGTGACATAAAAGGCTTTTATTCAGGCAATTTCCACACGCATAGTTCCATATGTAATTGTGGCACCTGTTCTCTTCAAGTTGTCAGCATGAAAAATAATGCATTCCTAGCGTGTCACATGCATGTCACATGCGTCTGCAACTAAATGCCATCCAATCTGGTTCACAAACAAATATATGAGAAAGAGTGACTCAATTACAAAAAAATCACTTTACACTTACAGTGAGAGCTTTAAATGAGGTATCATTTGGCAACAAATCTTTGGCACATAAAATAAAAAAATTACTTTGCACCCGACAGCTGCACTCAATTTGGATTTAAACAAAAGTTGGCACCGTTTGCGAGCGTCCCTGAAATAAAATTATGCACTCCAGCGGAGCCACTTTCCGCGAGTTTGCAGCAAACAAATAAGCACCAGCAGACAGCAAGGTCATTGACAGACACAATAAAAGTGACTAACGTTGGACTAGTTCGGTGTTCAGTGGAGTGATGAGGGTGCCAGCACCAGCATAAAAGAGGACCACCAGGAGTCCCACAACTCCAGCCACGACAAACGATGGTGTGTTCTGGTAGTGGTGCACCGAGCAGAGGTGGGAACTCCATAGGAATCGAGTTGCGTTCATCTGTAAAACAAGGGGCTCTGCTAGTTTTCGCTTGAACTGAACAAGGAACATTGGGAAGAGATGTCAGATGCACATTTTTTCAGAACACTCCCCAAAGGCTTGCTGCAATAAGGAAAGGAATATAGCTAGGCATCAGAGAAAAACTCAGATTTCAGCTTTTTCATCTCCTTGCACATTGAGCAATAATGGTGCATTTACGCTGGCAAATGACGGTAGCTGCCGTCTAAGCGGCAATTCACGGCCATCAGTGTTCATGCTGACGAGCACGACCTGCTCATTAGTGCACTCAAATGTTGCACAATTGACGCCATTCATATCGGTTCATACTGCTACGTCCATGTAAAATAAACACTCATGTATACAGATGTTCTGGGCCTTTAAGTGACCACAGTCATGTAACTGAGAAATCGAGCACCAAGTGAATGCCTCGAAATAGCTCTTATTCAATCAAATTGGTTAGTCACATAACTGGACAAGTCAAGCCCTAGAACTTAAATGAGTTCTGACATGATTTTGAGACATTGCAAAAGGGACATTTTACCTTTTTTTCATATGCAGTGGGCAAGTCAAGCCCTAGAGCTTAAATGAATGGTACTGACATGATTTTGAGACGTTGCAAAAGGGACATTTTAGTTTCCTTGGTATGCAGTGAATACTCTCTACACACTAGAGTCAGACAACACATGAAATATTTTACTTTGATTTTAATGTTTTCGTCACTGAGCATCAGCAAGCCAGCCCCACCACAATGAACATTCACCTGACGAGTCAAGACAGTTCCACCGAGTGCGAATTCGGCAACCTGCATGCGGTGAAAATGGTGAAAATCACTGCCAGGGTCAGTGGACGACAGTTCTCTCATTGTTCTCTACGTGGACCACGAGCAGATGACAGATCTGTCGCTAGTATGTCGCGAGTTGCTGTCACCCGGCGACATCGCACTGCGATGAAACGTCACTGAGAAACCACCCTTATGACAGGCACATGGCCAGAAAAGTTTTTTTTTTTTTGGGGGGGGGGGGGGGGGGAAGGGGGCACCTCCTTGATTTGAGGGAGGACACTTCTGTGAAAAAAAAAAATTTCGGGGGGCCCCGCCGCGATGGTCTAGTGGCTAAGGTACTTGGCTGCAGACCTGCAGGTCGCCGGGTTCGAATCCCGGCTGCGGCGGCTGAATTTCCGATGAAGGCGGAAATGTTGTAGGCCCATGTGCTCAGATTTCGGTGCACATTAAAGAACCCGAAGTGGTCGAAATTTCCGGAGCCCTCCACTACGGTGTCTCTCATAATCATATGGTGGTTTTGGGGGGGGTATGATCCCGGTGTGCTACACTCTGGCTATGCCCCTGCCTCATGATATTGAGACCACAAGTTTTTTTTTTACAGTAGCTATATAAAAATATTTGCATTTCCAGGCACCATTTTTAGATATCTTGACATCAGTGTTTTTATACAGAACCACAATAAAAAAATATTGTAAAATATTGTATAGTAAAATGGTAAAAATAGTAAAAGGCCGTTGACTATAAAAACAAGTATGACTACATAACTTCATTTTAAATTTTTGCACACACACATATACACACACTCTCTCTATCCTACCAAATCTTTTGGTGCGGTTTTCTGATAATTCTTTGTAACCATATATTTGCTGAATTATGTTCAATGTGTCTCTAGGGGAGGGGAGTAACCTAGGGTAACATTAGCTCTAATGTGGGAGACGGTGCTAGCTTGTTTTGCACGGTGATATGGTAGTAGCATTAGCTTGAATGAATATACAATAAAAAACAAAACCCATATACCGTTCATTGTATAGTTGTATCACACTACTATCGCATAACATTATCTGCAAGAGTCATTCCAAGATATTTGCACCAAGCTTGGGCCATTTTAACCATGAGAAATTGCATTGCTTCCACATTTAGTTCTTGCCTACGCCTGCGTAATGCAGTTGAAGCTTGATTTAGCGGAGTACTGAGGGCACTTGAATTATTTAGTTGAATCAGAAAAGCCCTAAAATCGAGGAAGCGATTTTTCAGTAAGTTGTAACATAGTGTAGACGGAAATCTACTGTGATCATTTGTTTGCCACTAATTCACTGCTGCACACGTGATAACACTGCAAGGGTAGCCCGAGCATGAATATCTTTGATATCCGGGTGATGCAGGCAAGGTGGACTGTGATGAGCAACTATAACAAGTTGCCATATTCAAAGACTGGGAGAATGAATGTAGTTAATTTGCGAGCATGCAGAGTAAGGAGAAGAAGGAGCAATCTTTGATTCTAAATAGAAGGGAGTCCCATGGAGATGATCAGTAACATCTGTCGCAGAAACCATTAAATAACAAAAGCAACCACCATGTTACCGTGAGAGCTGTGTAAAAGACAGAAAACCACTACCGCACAGAACCATCTGATATGTAAAAGACTGTGGCGTGTGGCCTCGTTAAAATAAAGCTTGTGTCATGACTTGGTTGGCCATATGTTTAAAACGTATAGCATTACAGCCCACATTCGAAGAAAAACTATCTGTGTCACAATTGGAAAGAAACTGCATTTTTATTCATTTTATTCATTTAAATCAAGTTAAGTGTCATGAAAGCTTTGTTAATTTGGGTTGATGAGAATACCAATCCTAATGCATACCCACCTGAAGGAGAATAAAAATTTCTTGGCTAGGTAGGAAAATATGTAAAATCAGGTTTAGTTAGATCAAGTTCTAACAGTATTCCCTTGTTCCCAGAAAACTAATGGGGCTTCTTGGACATGCAAGCAGTGTGAATATAAGTGAGCTTGTCCGCATACAAACTTTTGCAGTTAGAATGCTACTCACAGCGTCAACCATGTCAAAACAGATGTTGCCATCTTTGCTCTTCTGGACAAGGCCGTTGTAAAAGTTGTTGAGATCCCTGTATGGCTGTTCACAGGTCACGCACAAGTCAGTCATGTTTTGGGATAGCTGCATGATTTAGCCAAAAAATTGTGCGGAAAGAAAAAGAAACATTAATGACAATGCATGAAAATGATGCAGGTGTACTTACCGCTTCAGACTGGTTAATGCATTTGTTCATAGCATCGAGCTTTTCATTGAACATCAACGTCTCGTTTCGTACGGTATGGTTGCCTTGGCCTACCACGGGATTCTGAAAACAACCTGGCAACATTGCACAATGAGGTTATGCACCTTCAACAGTGTGCACACAAAAATTGTTGAAGAGTTGCCAGTCTCACCATCGCATGACGCACTTTTCCAAAGGTCCTGAATGTGTTTAAAGGTTTTGTCAACGATGGACACTTTCGTGGAAGAGAAAAACTGGTGCTGGCATAGCCGTGTGGCGGGATCTGTAGTCTGAAAATGAAAAAAGGTATACATTACTCTAGCTACCTTCTTCGGCTTCCTTTCTCAAAGAAGTATCGACGCTTCCTGTTGCAAATTAGTGTGGTTCATAGCAAAAAAGAAAAAAATTCTTCAGGTATTGTATTCATGAAAAGTGGGAAATGGAAAAAGGCACTGCTTTTGCACTGAAACTGCCAAACAAAGTGCTTGTCAGACAGATTGAAAAGCTTAGGCTGATTGTTAACCACTTGGCCACGGTGGTGGGTTCACACTAACTACAGAGAAACTTGCATGGATGTCGAAATGCTCTATTAAACACAAACAGATTATTTAGTTCTCTTGCCTCTGCCATATCCTTCAAATTTGTACTGCCTGCAGTCTGTAGTGCTTGTACTTTAACAAGAACAAAACACAGCCAACTTACGGGATGCTTCTCTACAACATGTCAGGAGTAGATAAACTCAAGCTTCCACAGAGCATTGCACCCTCCTCAGTGAGGACTCCTAGTATTAATGAGCATTCCCTTGCTCAAATTTTTGCCAAAGCTAACAGTGTTGAAGATAGCTTTTTCCCTTAGCAGTTCTTGAATCGTACCTGTTACAGTCATTTTTCCTCAAAATATTTTACTGGTGAACTTGAACACTTACACAAAAAGAAATTTTGTAACGTATGCTCATTTTCTGCCACTTCTGAACTTGCTGCATTTTGGTGGCCACATGTGCAGTCGCCAGCAAGCTTAACATGAACACTCCGCAGCGTGACCTGAAACAGTTTGACACTAGCGTCACCTAACTTTGGGTTCTGTTGCCGAGATGTTACCCATGAATGACGACACACTATCCAAACATACAGAGGTGTTATCTTGGCAACGTCCAGCGCTTTAGAAGTCAAACTAGTCTAGGTCACACGTCCGATCGTTCGTGTTAAGCTTGCCGATGACTGTACACCTAATTTCTCTCTAACACTGTGTTCAGTACCTTTTTCAAGGTATTTTTCTTTTTTGTGTTGAAGGGACACTAACGAGAAACACTTTTTTTTGCGTATTAGTAAAGAACAATTCTACAATCACGAAAACACTACTCTTACCACGGCACCATGCTTTGTAAGTGAGAAAACGCACGAAAAGATGGAAGGATTGATGTGGCTGTACCCTGTAGACCGGGCGGCCGTTAACGCTGCCTAGCCGTAATACTTAGTGACGAAAAACTCGATTTATCCTTTTTTTTTTTTATAGTGAAGTTAAGAACTGGCACTTTACAGTGAAGTATTTAATTTTCACTCGTGTCTTGATTGTAGCCACCAATCAGGTAACCTCCTCCCAGTTATTTCTCTCCGCTTAAGGCCTGTTTTGCCCTCCCTGTCCCTAAACCCCAGTGCTTTAAAAAACTCTGCGCCATCATCCTGAACTATAGGGTGAAGCCCTTTACAGAACATTATCAAGTGTTCGGCAATTTCCTTCTCCTCTCCACATGCACTGCATACCGTGTCTACCCCTTCGTATTTGGCCCGATACATCCTGGTTCGCAATACTCTCCTCTTGGCCTCAAGCAGTAGATAACCAACCCGAGAATTGTTAGATTCTTTCCTTGGCAATTTCTTGCTTGAAAGTTCGATAGATCTTCAGTGCCGGCTTCTTAATCATGCTTATTCTCTACATGTTGGTCTCTCTTTCTTTCACCACCTTTTTTCACTGAGAGTTCTTTTTGGTTTGGCCCCCTGCTGTTTTCTAAGTATTTACTCGTCAAATTTTCCAGTTCTCTTCATCCATTTGGGATGCCGCCAGGGGGCCAGAGGGTGCGGACGCGTTTCACGTCGGTTCCGCGGATGTTTTATGTTTGTGGCAGAAATTCAGATCTTCGATCAACGGCATTCTACTCAGCAGTTTCTGGAAGGTCAGCGAATCCTGCCTATATCAAGTTTTTCGGAGGTGAGCCGCTTTTCTGGACACTGTAGCTCATTTATTGCGGTGCCACACTGGCACACGAACTAAGCCTAACGCAGCACCGGTAGACGCCGTCGCTCGCGCTGCAGACGCGGCCGGCGTCTATGCCGAACCCAGCGAGCAGTGCGACGCCCCTTTGCTACTCGCTTAACGGCTTTATCCTCGACTGCAATGGAAGTTGTTCATGTAGACGGTGAAGAAATATCGCCGACAGATGTCCGCAAGGAGAATGGCTGGCTCGAGGTTCGGGCCAAATACAAGGAACGCAAGGCGCGCGTCGCGGGCACTGACCCTGCTGCGCAGACCGCTGACGCGCTCAACGATGATGAAGCGTTTGTCAAAAGAGCAGCCAGAAACGTGCGACGACTCAGCATGGCGACCAAAAAACCGAATCTGCCGGTGGACGACATCAAGGTCATCGTACGCCCTAGAGATGGCTTCAGCACCAGGACACATCGTGCTGCTCGGATCGGCGACAGCATACGTGCCGCTGCCGGACTGAACCAAGAGGAAACCAGAGGCGATATCTTTCGCGTAAACGAAAGACAGAATATTGTAGTAGTGAGTACTCCATCGGAAGAGAGAGCCAGAAGATATTGTGAAATCTCCAAGCTAACCATGGGAGACAAAGATTACGCAGCGAGGGCATATGCAGCCGCGCCGGAAAATACAACCAAGGGCATCATCCGTGGGATTCCCGACGAAGATTCTCCTGAGGATATTGAGAGACACCTCGTCAACGAGCACAACCCTTCGTTATTGCACGCGAAGAGGATGGGAAGCACGGCACACGCTATCGTCGTATTCGAAGGAAGTGTAGTGCCGCGCTACATATACTACAACGGAACGGAGCACCGTTGCGTGCTCTACAAGAAACAGTACGAGACGTGCTACGCTTGCGGCCGACTTGGACATCGATCCGACGTTTGCCCCAACCCAGAGAGTAGAAGATGCAGAGGCTGTGGCTGTGATGATCCACCGCAAGACCACTGCTGTGAGCCCAGATGTCGACTTTGCGGCAAGGACCACCCTACCGGAGACAGGAAATGCCAAGCCAAGTACAGAACTCCTTACATAGTGAAGAAACGCCAGTGGGAAAGAAGGCAACGTGAGGAGGACGCAGACAAGAGCTATAGGGTGTACGGCGAAAGTGGACACGCCTGTTCGGCGCTGCGTGGGGAGAGACGAGGCCGATCCGCCTCGCGTTCTCGCTCCCGCTCCCGGTCCCGGTCTCACTCCCGCTCTCGGTCGAGGAACGCCGAGCGCCAACGAGCCAAGGACAGACCTAAGTCCCAGGGCACGTCTCCCGCCAGTACCGACACTACAGCGACGCGAGCTGCCGGACCCGGTGGTAACGACAGTCTACCCAAAGCCTCCAAGGTGAGCTGGGCGGCAGCCGCCTCCGGCGAGCGTGCGCGGTCTGGCACTGCCTTTTCTAACAGTGAAGGTCAACACGACATGATCATGCAAATTCAAAAACGACTCGAGCAATTGGAGAGAGATAACATTAGATACAAAAACGTAATTGAGGAACACAGGGAGGAAAATGCTAGTCTAAAAAATGAGGTAGCTAAAAAGGGCGGAACGATCCGATTGCAGGACAATCCAGGGGAGGTACTATCTAAGGATGAAACGGTGCCGACCCCCTCGAAACGCAGGGCAGTTGAAGTGGACCCGGCGCAAGCCGAAATTCAAACACATAAAACAGAGGAAAGGGATAGGAAACGGCACGATGTCGAAGACGACATAAGCATAGTCAGGAAAGAAATAGAGGATGAAAAGAACACGCGTAAAGCAGAAATGGAACGAATGCTTAGCCAGCTTACAGGCGCGATGCAGCAGATAACAACTACAATGCAGCAAATACAGCAACAACTCGCCACCCTGCAGATGAGGGTTGAAAACAACGAGCGAAGGTTACCAGCTAGCAGCTGCGGGCCCCTCAAACAGACTGGGAAACCGCACCACAGACCAGTGGACACAGAGACTAGGGAGAACACTGGCAAATATTAAATTTTACTATCATCATGGCTACTCACAATACTAAAAATTACGTAATTTGGCAATGGAATTGTAGAGGATACGCTAGAAAGCGGGGACATCTTCAACAGTACCTGATTAACAAGGAAAAGCCAGATGTGATACTTCTACAGGAAACTAACGTTAAAGCTAAGTTATCCGGTTACAGGTCATTTCAGGATAGCGCTCCTCGGGACAAACCGGCCGTCGCGACGCTGGTCAAACGTAACCTAACCGTAACGCAGCATGAGATAAAGGTAAACGCGATACCGCACCTGTTGGTGGAGATAGTACCTCCAAAGAATCGAGACAATAGTCTTTTCATTCTTAATGTGTATAGTAGCCCTCGACTTCAGCACCGCTTCCGCGCGCTACTCAAGAAGGCGGCCGGCATCGCGGGGACCCGAGCGCTCCTCGTAGCGGGAGACTTTAACGCTCATCATTCCGCATGGGGCTACAAATACGAAAACCTGAAAGGCAAAAACCTATGGGAGGATGCTCTACTGGAGGGTCTCACTCTCATTACCGACCCCTCCGCGCCTACGCGACAAGGAAATAGTGTTTGTGCTGATACGTCACCAGATCTCGCGTTCGTTAAAAACATAACAAACGTATGCTGGACGAATACACAGGAGGATTTGGGCAGTGATCACACTATTGTAGAAATTCGTGCCAATGCGGGGCCGTGCAAAAAGAAAAGCAAGCTACTAAAACTTGTAGAGTGGGACAAGTTTAGGCAAAACAGGGAAAATAGGATTGACTCCTCGGAAAATATCGAAGATATAGAAAAGTGGACATCAATGCTGAGGCAAGATGTCGCGGCAGCAACGCATGAGGTCCCTCCTGAAGCAAACCTCCAGGTCCTAGATAGTAAGCTTCTGCATATGTGGGAGGCTAAACGTAGCCTACAAGCCCGGTGGAAAGTACAACGACACAATAGGACTTTACGTAGGCGAATAGCTAAACTGAATAGAGACATCGAGGAATACGCTTTACAGCTTTGCAAGTCACAGTGGGAAGAGACGTGTAATAGCATGGATAGTCGGGTAGGGTTCACCAAGGCGTGGAATCTCCTCAGGTTCCTGCTGGATCCAGAGGAGACTAAAACAGCATATAGGCAAAATGTCAACAAGATAATCAACGTCTACAAAGGCACCCACGCAGAACTCTTGCATGAACTCAGGATGAGATACACTAATCCGACTAGACCCGTGCTCCACTCTGAATACAAAGGCACTGCGAACGAGTGCTTGGACAGACCTTTCAGCATTGCTGAAGTACGCGCGGTGCTGCACAGGCTCAACACGAAATCATCGCCCGGACCAGACGGGGTTACGAACAAAACGCTTCGGAATCTAGATGACACATCGATAGAGCACCTCACGGTTTTCCTTAACGAATGCTGGGAAAAGGGACGTATTCCCCGACAGTGGAAAACCGCCCGCATCGTTATGATACCCAAACCAGGAAAGCGCATACAGCTGGAAAATCTAAGGCCGATATCGCTGACGTCCTGCGTTGGTAAGGTCATGGAGCACGTGGTCCTCGCGAGACTAACAAACTTTCTCGAGGACCACGATCTGATTCCTCACACCATGCTGGGCTTCAGGAAGAGCCTCTCCACGCAGGACGCCATGCTACAACTCAAGCACCAGGTAATAGACAGCATGACCACTTCTACCAAAGCAATCTTAGGCCTAGATTTAAAGAAGGCGTTTGATAATGTCAAGCACTCGACTATACTTACCCGAATACTAGAACTAGGACTCGGTAAAAGGACGTACGACTACGTCCGTGATTTTCTAACGGACAGGACAGCGAGGATCACATTGGGAGAATTAGAGTCAGGAGAGATAGAGATGGGCAGCGCCGGCACTCCTCAGGGTTCGGTGATTTCGCCCTTGCTCTTTAACCTCGCACTCATAGGGTTACCAGCTAAATTAGAAGAGATTGACGGGCTCTCTCACAGTCTGTACGCAGACGACATTACTCTGTGGGTAACTCGGGGATGTGACGGCCAAATAGAACAGACGCTACAGCGAGCCATCGATACGGTTCAAAGATTCCTAGAGGACACGGGCCTCACCTGCTCGGCTGAGAAATCGGAGCTACTGGTTTACAGACCTACGCGCAGAGGTCGAAAGCCCAAATACAGCGAACAAAGCGCAAATCACGCAGAGGAAGCGATACAGCTAACGACCTCGGAAGGCCACGTCATTCCCAAAGTAGACGTTATACGCGTGTTAGGCTTGTATATTGCAGCCAATGGCCACAATGGCGAAACTGTTCGCAGGTTGGAACACGCGGTAAATCAGACAATCCGACTTCTAAAACGAATTACGAACCGACATAGTGGTATGAAAGAAGGGAACACTATTAGACTTGTGCAAGCCTTTGTCCTCAGTAGAATCACGTACGTTGCCTCTTACTTGAATTGGCACGTCGCCGAGAAGATAAAATTAGATTGCTTAATCGGGAAAGTGTATAAGCAAGCTTTATGCTTACCCATGAACACAAGCACAGTGAAATTATTAGAACTAGGCTTGCACAACACGCTTGACGAATTAATAGAAGCGCACAACGTAGCACAGTATGAACGACTTTCTAAGACTAAAACGGGCAGGTACATCCTCGAAAAACTGGGAATCCACTATCACACGCAGCAAGGCGAAAAAGCCGACATAACCGTGATGGTAAGGGAAAAGATAGTGATTCCGCCGTTGCCCAAAAATATGCACCCGGAACATCACACCGGCCGAAGAAACCAGAGAGCGCAGGACTTGCAGAGAAAATTCGGAAATTGCAAGGAAGCGGTATTCGTGGACGCGGCCAGATACGCGCGAAGGTGTGGTTACGTGGCCGCGGTGGTCGACGGTAAAGGGACATGCATGACGAGCGTTACGGTGCAAACGCCACTGACCGAGACGGCCGAGGAGGTGGCCATAGCACTCGCGGTGGCGACCACTGAGGCCGAAGTAGTAATTAGTGACTCGCAAGCAGCGATACGCAACTATGCGAACGGTCGTGTCTCCCGAGAGGCGCTGCGAATCCTAATGACTAACGAAGACAAAATTCGGGAAAAAAATGACACTTTCGTCATATGGACCCCCGCACACACACAAACCCCGCTGGCCGGCAACGAGGCGGCGCACGCGGCGGCTCGAGCACTCACGAACCGAGCCGTTGCGAACGCCGACGCCGCCTCGGACGAAGTTCCACGCGGGGGGGAGTGGGAGTGGGGGGACCGCATGACTAGTTACCACGAAATAACGCAGCACTATAAGCTAGAAAGGCGAAAGTACCCTCCGCCACACAACAGGTTAAATAAAAAACAGGCAGTTGCGTGGCGACAACTGCAAACATATACTTATCCGAATCCAGTTCTCTTTAGTCTCTGTTACCCTGATCTGTATTTAACAGAAAAATGCAAGGTTTGCGATGAAAGGGCGACACTTTCACATATACTATGGGAATGCTCGAGTTTAGATGAAAGCAACGATGAAAACCACGAAGAGGCAGTTTCGGACCGCAGGACACGCTGGGAGGGGGCTCTGCTCAGCTCCTCATTCGAACAACAACTGTGGGCCGTCCAGCGAGCCGAGGAAGCCGCCCGAGCCCAAGGGCTCGTGGCCGACGCCTAGGCCCGCCCCAAATCAACTTCGCTGGACTTCATAAATAAAGTTATTCTTCTTCTTCTTCTTCATCCATTTTGTATCGACATTCCTCATGTACAAATAGCTGAAAACCTTCTTAGCCCAACACTTCTCGCCCGTTTCTTCCAATTGCTTCTCAAATTTTATTGTGCTGTTGGTTTCCCTGCCCTCGAATGATGTCCATTCCATATTTTGTACTCCCTAATTTGGTGTCTTCCCATGAGCTTCTACAGCAAGCCTACCTATTCCACGTAGCCTAATTTCTAATCTTGCTTGAACCTCTGATCTCATGCACAAGATCGCATTGCCGAGCGTCAGACTAGGAACCATGACCCCTTTCTAAATTCCTCTCACAACATCGTACCTATTGTAATTCCACAGTGCCGCGTTTTCACCACTACTACATTCCTGTTATCTTTAGTCGTTTCTTTAGGTACTTGGTCCCATTTTTGGTGGAGACCCCACCTTGAGATCGCCGCACTAACAGCGTGACGTCACAGAATTTGAACGCATCTACTGGGTCCTGCGTAGCTTCTAATCAATAAAAATGAAACAAATTGTCATCTGTGCGTCCCATAGCCCTATAGCATACGAAGTTTCAGAAAAGTTCGTCGAACCGATGTCGCGAAAATACAAACTGAAATCGGCGATGTCATGTGCGAAGATTTTGGCGCAAAATTTAAACATGAAACTCCTACCTTGACATTCCTCACTAATAATGAACTTATGACAGTGAAACTTGCGATATTAGACTCCTCAAAGTACAGATCATCAATTTAAACGAAGTCATTAGTTCATTTTAGTGTCCTTTTAAATATGCGTATTATTATGCACGATTCACCCCTGCTTAGGCTAAGCATTGGCTCGTAGTATTTTGCAATGAACACACTACTATCTCCGGGGAAGAATTCTTCACAGCGTAGCAGTATCTCACGTTAGTGGTAAGCTGGTAGAAGATCCCGATGCCGTTCCCGTACATCCCGGCACAGTTCATACACATCGTGAACGGTTTGGCATTCATGAGCGCGCACAGCTCAAACAGCGCCGTCACTTCGGCAATGTTTTGCAACAGGTTCGTGCAGTTCTCCCAAGGCCGGTCGTCCGTAATGTCGTCAGGGTGCACGGACGGCGCAGACACAGACTCTGTCAGCCGAGGCGTGCGGAATAGAAGCTCCGTCGCGAGGGTCCCTTTGACGAAGAGCGAAGTTGCAAGGAACACTACGAAACAGGCTGTGCGTGATGAAGGCTCCATTGCGTCAGGCGACAGTTCTCTAACACCCGACGCTCAAAGCTAAGCTACACATCTGCGCAGACAAGAAGACACTGACGCGGTTTACAAAACGAAGGGTCATTTTCGAAAGAACGCAAGCGTCAGATAATGCGAGAAACGCCTCTTCAGCGCTGCCATTTTGTAATGACCTCATTGAAGTCAACACAAGCCAAAACAAATCATTACGAAAAATTAAAAAAAAATCGCACCTGCTTTGTTATTTTGCCTATTCACTGGTTTATTGCACCATAAGCGTTGTTATAATAATAATAATGATGATAGTATAAGAATAATAGTCTACTGTTCGTACAGTTGTTACCGCGTGACCCACTTTAGCGTTTACTTCGTTGCAGTCGTCAACACTGGTACTGCTCTGTTCGTCAATTTTGCTTCTGCTCTTTTGCTAGCCTGTGCAGTGCTTACATGATTTGAAGTCGTTTAATTGGGCCCTTAATGAACAACTACTTGACACACACTGGACCCCTGTCCCGTGCAGGAACGTCGGCTTCCAGTGTCGGTTTAAGCAATGTGCTCCCTGATGACTTGGCCAAGAAAGAACGCCTTCAGCAGAGGCATTACGCGCTATTCAGTGAGCTCCAGCAAATGGCCAAAGATGTGCCACTGTAAGCCCGCCAGTGGCGCATTTGCAAAGATTCGCGAGTGCCTATATTGGTTCGTCTCAATTTAGAGATGAACATCGTGGAGTAACATGTTTAAAAAGGCGTGCGATGGTCTAACGCCGTTACGCAATGCCAGACAACTTTAGTTACCACATCGCGCAAATGTACGCGTACAAAGCCTCTGCGTGATGTTATCCATGCATGCGTCGTGGCTTTAGACAACGTAGTCCACTCACACACGCTGTCGGTCTTCTATAAAACAGTTACGATGTAGCTTTCTTTACTACACCAACGCTGAAGCTACCTAGAAGCTTGACCTGCTTTTTCATCAATTGTGCCTGTGAAAAAAACTTCATAACCTTGCTTTTGTTTGTTCCGGTTGTCCGTTAACATGTGTTTGTGGCGTTACTCGATATGGTGCGACGTTTTTTTCTTTTCTTCCTTTAATTGCTTTAGGAATTGTCAGCAGCGGCTTCCGTATGAACTTCTATCCAGCCTCGCTAACTCTCTGCTGGACGGCACTGTCTTCGACATTGTCCGTGGCCTCAAGGACATCCAGATGATGGAAGAACAGGGCCTGATGGAGACGCGCAGGAACGTCGTGAAATCGCAAGCAGGTCAGCCAAGTACTCGTGATTTAACGTGCAAGCACTTTGTTGTGTGTTGACGTCCATTACCTCATTCCTTTTAACCTTTCGCATCCAGAGCGCACAGTAAATCCATCTCCCTGCATCCTTCGAGGCAATGTTGGCACACTCTGCACTAACTACAATGTTTTGCTGGTTTCTAGTGGATGCCAACTTTCTATTTCATGAATCTACAACCACAGCTCGTGAATGAAAACTCCTGTCTGATAATGTTCATATGTATGAGTTTGGACGTAATCAAGTGGAAAGTAGCACATTAAATGGTTCGGCATTTCCAATGGCATCTGGGATACACAGGGTCCGTTCGATTCACCTGCACCAATCGAACCAGTTCGTGGCTGTGCACCAGAAGTTCAGAAATTGTGCAGCACAAGCTCAGCAGTGGAAGCACAGCACGATACCCAAAACTAATGATGAGGTGCCGACAAGGCGCAGGCCTTAATGTGCACTGTCCAACTAACACTGACCGATGGTAAACCGACACACGTGAACAGTTTATGAGGCAAACATCTTGGGCAAACACGCTGCATTAGTAGAGATGGGTACAGTGCCTATGCCTAAGTGCTGTGTTGTCTGCTCAGCTGCACGCACAGCTGCACCAAGCCGGCACCATCAGTGTAGGATTTGCAGGAAAATTGTGAACAAGTGCTGCACCTCTCCTGCAGCTTTTGAAACGAATGGCATGGTTCAGATGTCGTCATTGCTGCACCGCTGAAATCAATGGCAAGGTGCTGCACCTCATGAACTGGTTCATGTGGTGCTGGTGAATCGAATAAACCCATGAAGTTCATGGCATTTTACCCCACACAGTGGCTAGACATGATAGTATTTTACTTCTAAATGTCACAACATGGCTTAGTTTGGCAACTATAGTTGAAACTAAAGTTCTGATAGATGCCATGTGAGTGATTACCCACCGTCGTCTTAGGAATACAATTCTGCTTCTAACTACATTTTCAGACACCAAAATAGAGTTGATGAGACGCCAAAAGGAACAAAAGGAAGCACTCCTGTCAAGTGGAGCGCAGAACGTTGATTTCATTAACATGGCACAAGATAGAGAATTCAAGGTGCGTGTATTCCTGCAAAACTTTTTTAGGGCACCATACAGCATTGTACAGCATTCCTGCGAGATGTTAATATGCTAAGTATGTTCACAGTATGTTCATCTAAGGAATATTGAGGTGTTACAAAGTGACTCTAAATGTTTTTTGACACCAGCATGTAGCATGAACTGGTTGTTTCATGTAACTAGAACTAAAGCTCTAAGAAAAAAATGTTGTATACCACTACTAAATGAGACCAATGACATGTGGTGCTTATTAGAGCATTTGTATATCGCAGTTAATTAGTTACTTCACAAAGATCAAATTATCTAATTTGTAATGGGTCAAGTGCATTTCTGTGAGGTGATTTGTCTGTCATTTGAAGAAAACCCCCCAAGTATGAACTATCACCTCGTGACTGCACTCATGTACTACCGTACCGCAGCACTGTCATCCATGGTTCGAGTGCAACAGCCATGTGCGCGGACCATCACCCTATCGCTGAAAAAGAAGACCAGCACTTGCTTTCCCTATGCAGCTGGCAAAAATGCTAACGCACTGTAAAGGCGATGGTCTGCCACATTGGTGTAGCGGTTACCGTGCTCAGGTGTTGACTCGAAAAACGGGGGTTCTATCTCGACCGCGGCAGTTGCATTTTGTTGAAGGTGAAATGCTGGAGGTTCATGTGCTGTGCAACGTCAGTGCACATTAACGAACGCCAGACGGTCAACTCTTTCAGAGCCCTTCACTGCAGTGTGCCTCATAATAATATCTTGGTTTTGGCTCGTAAAACTCCAGATATTATCATAATTTTTTTGTTATAGTGAAACCGATGCCCAGAGCTATGGCTGTTCATTTTGAAAGTCTGCCGCCACTATTTTTCGTTGGTGCAATGTGTGAGACATTCTTAGCAGTCTGTGGTCATGTCTGTAATAAAAAAAAAAAATTCATGTTCAGGCGCTGGACCAGATGCACAAGGAAGAGCTTGTTCGTGTCGATATGAAGATCATCACCCAGCTGGACCAACTAGTGAGTGTGAATTTATTGCCACTCGTTCTCACAAAGCACAATTTAGTCCATTTTAAATTCTCATAGTCTCGTCTCATGCAGCACTCAGTGAACAAAAGGAAGGTAAACAATTTGTTGATGTGGCAGAGTTCTATTAATATAGCTCAATTTGACTTAATTTTTTATAGGCACATGCTTCGCATAACATTGATTCCTAAAGTACGTGGGATCTGCCAAATTTTTTGTGTTATATAATGCCAACCTTCACTCTCATCTTGTGTCCTTGCATTTCTATATGTTCAAACATTTACTATTGTGATTCTGAAATTGGCCTTTGAACAATCATTTGAACTTGACAGACTACCATGACAGGCTAGCAAATGGATGGGCTTAGCATGTGTTGCTGTGAACACATCGGTAACCTCAGCATGAACTTCAATAGGGCAAGATTTGTCAATAAACATTTGTCGGCGGGTGTAGATACAAGCCTCTAGCAGCAAGTATCATCACATTTTCTTGGTGTTCAGCAGAACTGTATGTATCGTGGCATAAATTACTAAAGTATTTTATCTAAACTTGGGCCGCTGTTTAACCCACTGGCTCTCACTGTGGCACTTTATATACGGCCAGTATTACTTTGAGATTTTTAAATGATAAGTTTTACGAAATTATGGTTGTAGTAACTGTGAGGTTAATTTAATTACCTCCAGTGTTCCTTGGAACACTCAGCTATGCAAAATACGCAGAAGACTGAGAACTAGCTGCCGGTGTTTTGTATGTTTCTTTTACTCTTGTTCTTAGCTTAGCAGGTGGCTTGCAAGAGCGGTGCGACTGGTTTCTGACTCCCATGTGAACATACTTGTACAGTTTTAAGCTAATAATACCCTATGCTGATTGCTGCATTCACAGAGGGCTTTTAATAACTGGCAACAGAGATATATTTATTGAATAAAAGTAGTGTTTACCGACCTACTACTCAAATGAAATAAGGATAAGAGTTCTGCATTTGGCTACCAACGAAGCTTGTGAATTGTCTTCACAAGAAGTCCTTAGCAGTGACTTTTATGCATTTTCTTCATCATGAGTGTCATCTTCTGGTGATGATATTTTAATGCTGGTTCTTTGCATTGTCAATACGACATAAAGCTGATTGAATAGAAAGTGTTGTGTAAGCTGATTGTCGCCTTTGTTATCACGTGGAGTTGGTACAAATTTTGTACATATAGCATTCTTCAGTATCAGATTGCTGCATTATCAGTGATATTTGTTGTCAGTATATGCGTGCTCTGTTTTAGCACATGCTTCACTTCTTCATAATGGTGATTGAAGGTATTGATAATTGACAAACATATTGCAACTAGCCATTTCAAGTAACTAACCTTTCTTCTGGAACCTCAACCGTGTGTCGACATTGTGCCTCCACAGGTCAGCGAACAGCAAGTTGTTTTGGAAAAGGCTGGTGTTCCAGGCTTCTTTGTTACTAACAGCCCCATGGAGATATCTATCCAGATGCAACTGCTGAAGTTTATCGCAAGGCTGGCTGATTCTGCACTTTTCACATCACCTCTTTAGAATTCATCCCAGTGGTTAGATCATTTTGGTTATCCATAAGCGTACCTTTTTTTTTCCAAGTTCACCTACACAATCAACAGGGAGTGCCTTTGTAAATATGATGTAATAAATGTCATTATATATATGCGTTATTGTGGAGATGATGCTCGGGAAGCGGCTTTGGCAGAAGTCGGCTAACACAGACTTGTCAACGAAGGCAAGAGCTGTCATTCACGTATTACGATGGCATGACCGATGAGAACAGCGGCTACATTAAAGTGTGCAAGTGTATGTTATGGAATGCTTTGTGTTTTATATCTAGTTGGTGGCTGAAAGCATGACAGATTCAGCTGCCAATATGAAAAGGTGCAACCGTAAAAATGAATAACGGGTGTTCTTGGTAACATTTCCGCCTACACTGAGTAGATGGGAAAATGGAAGGCGAGAGGACAAACCAAGAATGTCTTCGAACCAACTCGCCCAACTTTCCATTCTGTTGCAGAATAACAGGTGTCTGATAAACAATTCTTGATTTGTCATGGCACAAGAAATCTGAGTCCCAGGCTGACGCAGTGATGTTAGCCTCAACGCTTTTTGGGCCAAGATATATAGTGCGTAAAAACACGGTTATGAAAAGTAGCAGTGCAAGACACGTTTTCGTAGTGGTTTCTTTATTAATGCTGTTTATCTTAAGTATGAATAACAAACTAGCCCAATCAAATTCTCTTTAGCCTGTTCACACAGTGGTTGGTATCTCAATGAGCCATTTCCTATCCACTGCGGCTATGAGGCCCCTTATAAAGAAATGTCTATGTTAAGTTCACAATGTACAAATTGAAAAATTTCTAGAGAAGTAGGAGGGGGGATGCATCTGAAACCCCTAACAACCCCCCTGGCTATGCCTGTTTAGAATTGTTTTGTATCACATATGCATCACTTGTACTTTTCATTTGTTTGTGAACTGGTATTACGGTGGTAAAAAATACAGTTAATCTATGTATAGTGAATGATTATGTATAAAGAAGCAAATTTGTTTCTTACTGTAACCATGTTATAAATATACATCGGTGATGGAAATAAGATGTCATTTAGGTCTCTTTCTGCCATATGCACTTCTATTATATATTTTAACTGTTACAGGTTTTTACTGCCTGGTTCCATAACTAAATTGTATTGAGTGGAGCTCGAAATGAGCCAGTATATTTCCTATTTCGAAGCATAAAGTGTCCCTTACTAACAATTCATAAAACAATAGCTTCAACATAACCCCTTCACTTCATAAAACCACAATCCTTAATGAAATCTTGTTATGCCGCCTTTATTTTGACCCTCAGATTTGCGGAACTCAACTACTGGGCTTGAGCATTGCAAGAAAGCCAGCTTCTCGCCTACATGATGAGCAGGAGAAGAGAACCAAGCACGCAATACTGCAACATGCCCTAAGCATCGTTTGATAACCCACACCACAAGTACAATGTGGGGTGTACATCGGTTAGCGCTTTTGTGCGAATCGGTGTTGTAACTCTAGACAGTTCCTTGACCATTTGAGTTTACAACAAGCCTCTAGTTTACCGATTGAGGTGCGTAGAAAATTGTCGCTGCTGTTTTTCTTGCCGTCCTTGTGCAGCACTACAGTAAGCAGTTTACGAAGGTTAAACGTTTATTGCAAGCGATCAGACTCCCATGGGAAAATATTGTAATGTAATATCCATGTATGCCATGGAACACAAGCATGCTCCATCACTTCAGCGATCAGTCCTAACGAGCAATAAAACTGATTCACCACTTGCAGGGTCAAAAAGCACAGCTTGGAACAAACTATTAGAGGCCCTCGTACTGTGTGTACAGAAAATGTTATAAACGATTTAGAGTACTTGGTACTCTACTATGGGAGAGCACTAGGCCGTCCCTTTGATGACATCCAGTCCGGTTCCTTCAACTGATGTGCCTTGTACTTAGATTTTAATGCACATTAAAGAACCGCAAATGGTATATCTTTCCGAAGCCCGCCACCGGGGCAGGTGTCATAACTACATCGTCATTCTGGCAGGTGAAAACCCCAAAAATTAGAAGAATAAATGTGTAGCTGCGCACGGACTTAATAAAGCCTTCGAAAGACCTGTCAAATCTTGCAAGTTTTAGTTAACGTTTAGGAAAAGGAGGAAGCTACTTGGTTTGCACACACTACTGGCTACAGTTGGGTCAAAAAAATAAAAACACTGCCGCATGCCTAACGTGAGCTGAATATCCGGCATTCATGAAGAAAGCAACAAACGAGTTCCCACTGCCAACTGAATTGTCCGAAGGCGTACCCTCGATCCGTAGTGGTGTCTTTTCGTGAGACAGCTCCACTGTGAAGACAAGCAGCCTGGGACATACCCCCACCATCAGCTGCTTTATCGAGGTGCTTTATCGAACCGCGCTCGACTTCTGCTAGGCGCGGTTCATTCCGTTAATTAAAACGGCCTCTTAATTGTACGGCAGCGCCACGCTTGACTACTGCTAGGCGCGGTTCATTCCGTTAATTAAAATGGCCAGCGTCGCTCATTCGCGAAATGCACCGCGGATGGCACCAAATTATCACGGAAAAGCCACAACTACAAAAAAATTGCAGTTAAACTTAGCGGCAGTCTGGCAACACTGACCCTCTCAGTCTGGCAACCACTTATGCAACGCCAAAAGGAACCTTGCCGTTCTCTACCGCATAGGGGGGCCAAGCCTCTTAAAATCACAGCTGCCTCTGGGTAAATTAAGGGTTCGACATCCCTTTACTGGGCGGGGCGGGTCGGGCTGGCGTGCAACTTTTTTTGGCACTGAAGGGAAAGCTACGGCGACGGAGCTTCTGCACATGTCTTGGCGCGCGTCTCGTAACGCTATGGAAAGTGACGGGGGCGCACCACAGAACGGCGCACCATCAGCGTTTCATGTAGACGCAGGCGCCGCTTAGCCTTTGGGGTGCACGTAAAACGGCGGGACTTTCTCACGCGTTCATGAACGCGAAGTCACAACCAATAAACTGAAGAAATTACGAATTTCCTAATGGTGCGAGTGGCGTCCTGTCTCGAACAGCTCCACGTAGAAAATAAAGGATGAATTTTTATGTTGAAAATCAATAATTGGCAGTAGAATCACATTAATTGGCAGTAAAATTTAGCTCTGAAGCCTTCGCTACAATGCCAAGAAAAGCTGTCGCCGAGCATGGGTGATACTCTGATACAATTGTGGAAACGGTGTGTCTAAAGGTACGTCGGACGTACCCGAATACCAAAAGCTAAAGGTACGTCCGACGTACCCGAAACCGTGAGTCTAAAGATACGTCGGACGTACCCGATTACTAAAAGCTAAAGGTACGTCCGACGTACCCGAAACCGTGAGTCTAAAGATACGTCGGGGGTACGCGAAACTGAGTCTAAAAAAAAAAAAAGATACGTCGGACGTACGCCGGGAGTTGCCGGGTGGGTCCACGGCTACCGCGTACCAATTTTTGCATATATACGAAGAAACGAGCCTTCGTGCGAGCCTGCTCACGTAAAAGACTGACAGGGAGCGAGTACTACCGGTGACAATGGAAAACTTAGAGCATCGCGTGGTTGACGAACGGCGTCGATGTCGGCGGTGCCGTTCTCTCCTAGCAGATCTTTTGAACGGAAAGGGGGAGGCTCGCACGTAAGTACAGAGGCTGATGTCCTTCCCTCGGCAGAGCAATTTTCGGGCAAAGAGTTCTGTGCGGTACTCTCGCGAACGCGGTTTTGTGTGATATGCGCCTATGTAGCCAGCTGAGTTTGCACGAAAACCATTCTGGGAGCCGACCTACTCGCTGACCTTTGAAACCGTAACTGCGACCGGCTCCCAAAAACTAACCAGCGCGCTTGAGTCCACGAGGTTTCCAGATGAGCGGGTCGTTAGCTAATTACTGCAGGGAAAAAAACAAGATGTAAGATTTTTAAATGCAAAGCATTTCTTAGCAAACCAAACGAATTTATTTATCTGGTTAGCCAAGTTAGATCACTAACTAGCTAGCCGCCTACGCCTGGGTGCTCTCATGATCTCCTCCTTAGCAGGTTGCAAAAACGAAAAAGACAGGCCAGATAGCATTTTAATGCTCTTATTATACATAGTTTTCACGTGACATCACAGACAGGTTCTCTGCACTGGGTGCTCCGAGATGGCGGCAACCGTGACTTTTTATGTCATTAGAGAGTACCATTGCAGAGGAGGACACACAGTTGTTCGGTCCCCGTGTTCTTTTGTGATGTCCCCACTTTCTTCTGTTCGCAAGGCGCGCTGTGGGGAATCAAAGGAACGCGAAGGGCACCGGCACAAATCCTATGTCACCGTTTGAGCTAACCCAGCATCTCAAAGTAGCTGGGGGCCCTAAGATGGCGGCCATGGTGACGTCAATGCAAACTATGTATACAATGAATGAATTCAGTGTTCACTGAAGGCACAACTAATGCAAGCTTTAATCAAAGGATCACAATTGTATGAAGAATAATAGGAACAAATACACAGACACACAATACATGTAAATGTCACTCGCATGAAACAGCACTAAGCTTTCTTCCATTTTTTATAAGCATGCCAGTGGGGCATACACTCAGCCATCTTTTGTTGTGCTTAAGCAAACCCTGCTTGCGAGCTCCCCTGCTTGCGTAGAAGCAAACCCTGCTTGCGTAGAAGCTTTGGAGCAATTCTGCTCATTTGTAGCATTAATGTAGTAGCTTTCACAAAACGTAGCAGGTTGGAGTAATTTTGCTCATTTGTAGCATGTATGGACCAGCTTTAACAAAATATAGCACGTAGGAGCAATTGCAGCAGGTTTCCCATCGCTGTGTTCCACTCACGGAGCAGCTCCTTTACATTTGGGCTGCTGCTACACACTTCGCACAAAACCAGGAACTATTCCTGTTGCGGCTGCTCAGTGAAGTACAGATTTGGTGGAACCAACACAAACATAAGTCACAAATCACAGAAGGGTCCTCTTCTAACAGGTCCCGACATTCGTTGCATTTCCACTTTATGGTTTGCTTCTTCACCTTGACTGTTGCCAGCACAGCTGTCCAGCCGTCTTCAGTGAAGTATTTCTGGACACAGTCAAGGTGAACTTCCTCGTCGAGGATTGTCTCTGGAATCCTGGAAGGTATGG